AAATGTAATGTAATCTCTTTATCAGTAGCTGAAAGTGAGTTTTAACGTAGCTCTAGTTCTTGCGGCCAAATTATAAAACTATTTTGATGGTTATCACAGGTTTTATTATGATACTATTATCATATACTATAGTCATTCTTTCTTTGTACAGTAGGTATTCTGATATATACCGGGTATATGATATGTTATTTTCTGCAAAATAAAAACACTAAATCACCACAATACACCAAAACACTTTTACTTTTACACTGGACGCGCGTTTCGCTAACCATGTTAACATCATCAGCAGATGATTATAAACTAAAGTACAATCTACAAGTTGAGCGTTTATATACTCGCCCAGTGGGCACCGAGTGGGCGTGGCAAAAACTAGCCAACCGAGTCAGAGCCAACTGAGCGTAACAGTTAGATTTCCGCCAGTAGAGTAGTAGGTACAAAGAACTTGAAGGAATTGGACCGTTGTCTCTGTTTATACTATCTTTACATTTATTCATTCTGATGCTTTCATATGCATCTAATTGCCTGTAATTTGAGACTTGTTTAATTACTTTTAAATTATTAAGATCTATACAATGTTCTTTATCAACAATATGTTCGGCAACGCAAGATTTATCCGGTCTACCATATCTTATCTGAGCTAAATGTTCTTTAAATCTAGTTAATATTGATCTTCTAGTTTGCCCAACATATTTCTGATTACAATTTTTACAAGAAATTTCATAAATACCCGACCTTTCCAGTGGAGGTGTTTTATCCTTTGGATTACCTAATAATTGTTGTAATTTATTATTAGCACTATACACAAGTTTATAATTGACATTCTTAAAAATTCCACGGGTTAACTCTCTATCAAACGGTATCGAAAAATATTTAGACATATCTTTCTCCACTTGAAAAGTCGAATTTTCAGAAATCATTAAACTATACCTACGTTTTCAAGTGGAGAAAGATACGCATCAGAATTAATAAATGTAAAGATAGTATGAACAGAGACAACGGTCCAATTCCTTCAAGTTCTTTGTTCCTACTACTCTAGTGGCGGAAATCTAACTGTTACGCTCAGTTGGCTCTGACGCGGTTGGCTAGTTTTTGCCACGCCCACTCGGTGCCCACTGGGCGAGTATATAAACGCTCAACTTGTAGATTGTACTTTAGTTTATAATCATCTACTGATGATCCTAACATGGTTAGCGAAACGCGCATCCAGTGTAAAAGTAAAAGTGTTTTGGTGTATTGTGGTGATTTAGTGTTTTTATTTTGCTGTTTAACACCAAAGGTTCCAACCCTCAACTGTAATGTTATTTTCTATCAAATAAATTAAAAAAATACCGAGGATAGGGTACCATTTAAAAATTAAAAGCTGTAGTCATGTCCAGTGAAACAGAAAGTTACACAAATACGTCAATCAATCCTGATTTATGCCATATACTCTTTTTTTATCTGAAAAAATAAAAAGGTTTAGGGGTGAGTCATTTTTAAAAAGGTATGGGGCTCAGAAAATATTTCTTTGTTCTTTTATTTTCAGATTCAGTATTGAACCAGTTTGATTTTATTTATTTTATTTGTTTTCGATATATTTTATCACTAATTATCTAGAACATTAAGACTAATTCGATGATTATAAAAGTTCTGTTTTAAGTGTATTAGCACAGTTTAAAGAATATTCTTTAAACTGTGGTATTAGTGTCTAAAAGTAGGTATTATTTTACCCAAAAATCGGTTATATGTATACTGAGTGCAACGAATTCGTTAACAAAGCTAACTTTAAAAAATATTTAATAAAAGAATTGTGAAAACATACATGTTGAGACAAACGGATGAACATATAATAAAGCTTATATAAATAATTGTTTAAAAAATATATGTAAATCGCACTTTCATAGCAGATCAAACTAAAGGTGAAATATATTTTTAATTATTAATTAAGATTGGTATTTAAAAAAGAGGTTTAATTATTAATTAAACCTCTTCAAATAATTGGTATTTAAAAAAGAGGTTTCAGTGGTGATGTATAAAAAACTTTTTGTCGTGCTTTAAAAATAGAGCTTTTAGAAAACTAACATTGTTTTGAAATATATGTAAAATTTGTGTTAGTATTTATTTTAAGAAAATATAAACCACATTTTTTTTAATGCAAAAGAAACAAACAATCGACTTTAAAAATAACACATCACAGATCAATTGATAACTTGTAATTATGTAAACTATGGCTGTTATAATAATGACAAAAGCAGGTGTCTTCGGTTTTTGACACCTACATGCCTTGTTTTCTGCGTGTGGGCGTGTTAAAAAATGGCAGACTTACCTAGAACTTGCTGGAAAACAAAGCATTTAAAATATGTTGTTTTACATTGACGCAACAATAATAAATTGTATGATCCTAATTTGAAATTTAGGATGCCTAATTATTTTTTTTGCTACTAGGGTGTTTAATTAAAGTTTATACAATTTATTGGTCCTAAGCTATTTAATTTTCTTTTTAGAATATATTGCAAAAAGTTAACTGTTTAGTTTGATTATATGTGTATAATTTTAACAATAATTTTTTAAATAATCCAGTTTATATTGTTACCTAAATCTTTTTTAAAATATATGGGTTTAAGGAAAATATTACTATTATTTATCTCGTATAATATTAATATACATATAACATGTTATCCTGAAGGTCGTCTAACAGTACGATTAATGACAATATTATTAGTAGATTAAAACAGATTGAATAATTTAAACAATCTTATATCTATTTTTAATGAATGGAAGCTTATTTAATTCCGAAGATCGAAGGAATAACTTGCAGCAGTAGTTGAAGTATCTACATATTATATAAAATGCTAATGTTTATCTGTGTCGTCTCTCCTGAAGCAACGACTTGCTCTAGAAAGTTGCTTTTTTTACTAAAATATAGCTAATTGGCTCTTCTAAAAACTGTCGTCGTCGGATTTTTTGTTTTTCATTTAATTAAAAAAAAATGAAAAGTATTTTTTTTCCTGATGTCGTGGCGGATGCGCCAGGCTTCAACTAGTAAATAATAATAGTTGAGATACTGTAACATTTTCAAAGCATTCACAAAGTACACATTTTTATTTAGTAAATATATTGATATTTAATAATCTTACAAAAACAAATTAATAGAAAAAGTATAATAGTTATAAAATTGAAGCAACTATTTTCATAAAAATAGAAAATTGTAAAATTGGTATTTTAAACACGCAAAAACTGTACTTAGATAACATAATATCGATATCTATTAAAGAAAGAGGTTCAGAATTCCATTTTATGTGCCAATTTTTCAAATTATGCAAGGACTTATACGAAGCAAGGACTTATACGGAACACTACGAAATTCAGTAGAGCTGTTAAGGTTAATCAATCGAGCATATACAGGGTCAGGCAATAGTGCGTCGGGCATCTGTAGCTCCTAGAATAAAACACTTGCGAATTTTGTTTAAGTGCAAAACTAAATTATGTACTAGGATGTATTTCCGGAAAATATTTTAACTTCTATAGGATGGCTCAAAAAAGTGTGAGTGGATCGGGATGATTTTTTTAAATGGAACACCCTGTATATTATTGCATTTTTGGCTTCCTTTCAGATCACTTTACGCTTCATACTCTAAGATATGAGTAAATATATTTCGATAATTTCAGAGATATTAATAAATAAATGAAAATTATATATTTTTCAGCCTTTCTTAAAAAAAATTATTAATAATACAAGAACTGTCCTGAAATCAAAACTATATTAGATATTTACTTTAGATGGTCTGTACTTACTTTGATATGAATATGGGAATCGTAAATCATACAGGATGTTCAATATTTTACGCCAAACTTTCAAAAATATAAAATAATTTTTCTTCGGTTTTTTTAAAATGGAACACCCTGTATATTATTTTTTTCAATAGATGGAGAATTAAAAAATGAACTTTTTTTGTATTTAGAGTATTTCAAAATTATTAACGATTTCACAGATATTCCCGGTTTTGTATTTCATATGGCATTTTCCACAGTAAATTTTCATCAAACTCAATGATTTTTCTCTCGTATTTTACCAGTGAAAGCGCCATATGAAATAATAGTGCGTATATTCGGAAAACTATTAAAAATTTTGAAATACTTTAAATACAAAAATGTTAATTTTTTAATTCTCCATCTAATAAAAAATAATATACAGGGTGTTCCATTTAAAAAACACGAAGATAAAATATTTTCTATTTTTGAAAGTTTGGCGTAAAATATTGAACATCCTGTATGGTTTACGATTACCATATTTATAGCAAAGTAAGAACAGACCATATAAAGTAAATATCTAATATAGTTTTGATTTTTGAATTTCTTCACTATTGCCGGACCCTGTAGAAACAGTAAATAATATTAACAAGGTGGCGACATCTGTCGGAGATGCAACGGTTTAAACCGCAACGTGTATTGCTGGTTGAGGACTATTTGAGGACATTGTTGAAGTGCCATCTCTTAGCCCAGTAGAAAAGCGAATCAGGCGTCAGAATTTACTGGTAGATAGCAAAAGGGTATCGCAAATTACAGAACGTTCCAGAAACAGTCGCTAGGATATATGAAAAACCCGCGCTATGCAGTTGAGTAAAAGCGAAGAGAATTGAATAATAGTAGTTGCATAGTTAATTAGTCAACAAGCAAAAGAATAAAAACGAAATTATTGTTCAGTAAAAGGACACAAAATAAATAAACAAACTTACTGTGTCTCTAATCTGTATATCTTTATGGCCTGATATTATTTTATATCGTTTTTGTACTTGTTATCCAAATGCACTTCCAAATTCTCCCTCCAAATTCACTTCCAAATTCTCTCTCTCACACAAATAATTAAATTAGCCATGACGCACCTGTTTGTTGTAATGATGAACATTAAAATACATTATTTTAAAGTTTGATACTTAAAATAATGTGTAAAATATTAATTTTATTTCATGTACATTTATGTAAATGAAGGTCGTAATCAAATAGTATTTTTGTTTGTTCAGGAAAGAGGATGGGAATACAAACAAATATCAGTCACCCGAGTGCCAGGCTTTGGATTTGGAATTGCAGTATCAGGAGGAAGAGACAACCCCCATTTTGCCTCAGGTGACCCAAGTATAGCTGTCAGTGATGTTCTAGCTGCTGGTCCAGCAGAAAGGCTTTTACAGTGAGCGTTTTTCGTATTCTCTTTCAGTTCATACCAAATAAACTTTTAGTCACGTAACTAAACTTGACCGGCACAGCGTTGTCCACTTTTATGTATTTTCTTTTAATCAACATATTTTAGGAAACAAAAATAAAATAAATTATAAATATACAGGGTGGTCCGAACTGTATTCCGGAAACTTCGGCAGCTTTTTCTGCACATAAAAATAAGAAAAAAGTTCGTATAAATGTATGTCTCCAAATGCTTAGTTTCGGAGATACAGCGTGTAGAAGTTTCATTTTTATTTCGATTTTTTCCAAATAATTTCTGAAGTAACGGCAATATTTGGATGAAAATTGGTATCTGGGAGTTTTTTGACATGAGAAATTTAATTTTGATGTCAATATGACTCTTATTTGTAGAGGGCGCCACCTATATGTGTTTTAACTGATTTGAAGAGTAATAACTTTTCGTCCGTACCTGTATAAAACTACTGAGTAAGAAAATATACATTTCCGTGACTTTTTACGTAAAAAATGTCTCTTGGCAAAAATCGCTACGACCAACCGTTCTCAAGATATTTAAAATAGAAATAGTCAATACATGTCACTATTGACAAGAAGTAAACACGTTGAGTAGATATAGTTATTTGACTGAAATAATAAATACATTTTTTCAAATTAATCATACACTTTTCTGCGAAAAAATGGTGATAAAACATTTTCTGTTGAACTTTTGACACAAAAAAATTTCAAATTTAATATTTCAGTCTAATAACTATTTATTCAACATGTTTAATTTATGTTAATGAAGACAGGTATTGATAATTTCGGTTCCAAATATCTCGAGAACCATTACTCGTAGCGATTTTTACCAAGAGACCTTTTTTACGTAAAAAACTTCGCCAATGTATATTTTTTTACTCAGTAGTTTTATACAGGTAAGGTCGAAAAGTTATTATACTTCAAACCAGTTAAAAAATATGTAGGTAGCTACAAGTAAGAGTCATATTGACATCTAAATCATATTTCTCATGCCCAAAACTCCCAGACACCAATTTTCATCCAAATATTGACGTTACTTCATAAATTATATGAAAAACACAAAATGAAAATGAAACTTCAACACCCTGTATCTCCGAAACTCAGCATTTTAGGACATACATTCCAAACCAAACTTTTTCATTTATTTTTATCTGCACAATAACAGAGATACGGGGGTGTCCCAAATCGCAAAATTTTCAAAAAGACCCTGTAGCTCAGAAACGAAGAGGGCAATGAAAATTTTGTTTACGGCATCTTCCATTTGACAAAAAAGTGACACAGGTATGTGCAAACCGCACCCTTCTATCTTCACGAATAACGGAGATACCGTATGGTTTCATCCAAAATGGGACACCCTGTACACATCGCACTAAAAGAGGTTCTAAAAGAACAATGTTCGACTGCAAGGTCTGCTAGTAAGTATTTTTAAGCTTAAAGTATCACAACACTATTTATTTAACTAAAAAAAAATAATAAAAAACTAAAGTGTCAAAACGAATGACAATGTCAGGAAATAAATAAATAAACGCGGCAACTTGACATATTTTAAAGCAGAGCTGCCATCTGAGTCCCCAGCGGGAAATTATAATTCTACTTAGTATGCACGGCGCCGAATATGTCCTTGGTTGGCAACAATTAATTTAAAAATCGCGCTCTTGATGACGTAACTAAAAGTTTATTTACTGTGAACCGTATAACTGTAATAACTCACAAACTTTTTTTTAGAGTAAATGATAGAATCATATCGGTTAACGGCATTTCATTACAAAATGTTGATTATGCCACTGCCGTTCAAGTTCTCAGAGATAGCGGCGATACAGTTTTACTGGTGGTCAAACGACGAATTTTTCAACACTCTCACGCCCATAGTGCCTCTTACAGCGGTCCACCTCCCTTAGCAGCTCTTGGAGTTACTGTTCCAGCACCTACAAAAATCACTTTTACTAAAAATTCTAAAAAAGAAGACTTCGGAGTTATTCTCGGCTGCAAACTTTTTGTTAAAGAAATATCTTCTAAAGCAAGAGAACAATTAATCAACTCCAATCAGTCTCTGGATATTGGAAGCTTTATAACAAAAATTAATAACACCAACTGTAACGATATGATGTCGTTGAAAGAAGCTAAGAAGATTATGGATAGTTGTAAGGATAAATTACATTTAACAGTAGCCAGGGAGTTTATAGGTGCATCGAACATTTCACATCAGGCTCAAAGTTCTATAAGCACTACCGGAGCTGTTAATAATTTTTACAAAGGTCAGAAACTGAAAAGAAAATAAGCTTCAAATAATTACATCTATATTTTTTTCGTTAGGTGATGATTTTTTAACGTCGTCGAATCAGAGTTATTCGAATCAAAATTTATATGTTCAACCGCCAACACGTAATCCCAATCTTAATCAAAATGGTTCATTTGATGAAAAAGCCGATCCTATATCAGGTATGGAAGATACCACACTCAGATCGAAAAAAAACGCAACGGAAAAAAAATTTCTTTAAATTTGAAGTGAGCCGGGTACGTCTCAACATTGGCTCACCCCTATAACTTTTATTTTTTCAGATAAAAAAAACGGGATTTGGTAAGTTAGTGTATGACATAAATTAGGATTAATTGACGTATTGAATTTTTTTGGTCGCTTCCTGTTTTACCGGAAATGACTACAACTTTTGATTTTTATATATGAATAGAATGACATATCATATGTGAACTTTTACATATTTGCTTAAAAAATCATCATATTTAAAATTTCAATCTAGAATACCATGGCTGCGTTAAAAACACCAATTTTTAATCAAGGAGCCTTGGATAAACATGGGGAAATTGAAATAATTTTGTTTGCACATTATAATACGACCACCAGCAAACTCCATAACACGACGCATGGTGTCATTGACGACGTGCACTCAAAGTTGTTTTAATTTCCCTTTATATATTTGATCGTCTAATGTTTTTAGTGTCTTGTTCTGGCCGGTTAAATGATACCCAAATCGTATTTTTAATCATATCTCAATTTTTTCAAATGGAACGAGCATGGTATTATGATGGCTCATTAGCATATTTGGAAAAAGCATTTTTTTACGAATAATTTCGTAATTTGCATTTTTAGTCAAATTATCGTTATGAACCGCATGTTACAATTTCAAATAAACCATATGAGAAAATGTCCAAAAGTTGATATATTATATGCCATTCTATTCAGAGTGTCATTTTCTATCGAATAAAATAAAAAAATGCCGGGGTACCATTTAAAAATCAAAAGTTTTAGTCATTTCCGGTGAAACAGGAAGTGACCGAAAACAATTGAATACGTCAATCAATCCTAATTCATGTCATATACTTACATACCAAATATCGTTTTTTTAGTGATGGGAAAACCGATTAATTTCAATAATCAAGTACTCGAGTTGTGATGTCAATAATCGAGCGATCGCTCGAGCGAAATTTCGGTTAAATTTAAAAATACGGTTTTTCGTCCGTGCGTCGCTTGTACTTGCAACTCGTAACGCCATGCAGTAAGGTGCGTGCGCAGAGCACATATTCTTTCGACGATGATTGGTAAGTAGCAAGCGATGAGTAATCGCTTGATTTAGTTTGAAGTATTGTCGATGTAGGTCGTAACATTTTGTAGCGCAACGGATAACGTCGTAAAAATTTGCTACCTGCAATGTATGTAGAAAATTCGCTCTGTATCCAGTATGTCACATTAAAATCGGATTTCAATTTATTTCATTCTAAGATCCCTTGCGTTCATCGCTCGTAACTCGTCACTTGCATCGCTCGTTCATAATCGAGCGATGTCGGTTATTTCAATAATCAGTACTCGAGCGAACTTTCGCTCGATTACTGATTATTGAAATACTCGCTCGAATTATCCCATCACTAGTTTTTTTATCTGAAAAAATTTAAAAGTTATAGGGGTGAGCCACTTTTGAGACGCACCCGGTATTTTTTTATTTTTAGCTCTATCTAATTCGTAAACTCGTTTTTTATATAAATTTTAGCATCTTGAACAGGATTAATCAAAAGGTTGTTTTTTACCCTAACTTTAAAACCCTCTGTGCAATAATTTTCTGAGCAGATTTTCCTAAAACATTATATATAAGTCAGAACCGCATCTTCTCAGCATTTTATTTTTTGGCTCATTGCAATACATGCTTTGGTTTTTTAAAGAACAAAATGCACTTGCCACCAATAATTTACAGTTTTTCCAATTATAATTACTTTTTGATGTTATTTTTCAATATGATGAGGTGGCTTTAATGATTATTGTGAACTATATACTACTATGAACTGCTCAACATGTTCGATAGATCTGAACCCTATTTTATCTGAACCTGATATTAATGGAACACGTTTTGGACATGCTTGACAGGAGGGTTAGAGGTCGCGAAATAGCACTAGCTTTATTAAATGACCTTCAATTGGTCCTTAAAGAAGAATGGGAAAACATAACGCAATATGATATATGCAGCCTCATTGACAATATGGACGGACGTCTATAGGGAGTTATGGCAGCCAAGGGAGGCAATACAAAGTTTTAAGTTGTTTTTTACAAGTTCTTTTTCTTCTTGTATACTTCGTTATTACAGTTAAAACCAGGACTGTATCGTACTCTGTAAGGTTTTTAATTTAGTATAGAGTATCTAATGCAGTGTAATATGACATTACGACAATAGTCGCTAAGGCCAAGTCGTTATATTGAAAAATAATATCAAAAAGTAATGATAATTGAAAAAATAGCAAATTCTTGGTGGTGAGTTCACTTCGCTCTTAAGAATTAATCGGGGCATTGTTTACATGACACAAAAACAAAATGCTCAGGAGATATGGTTCTGTCAGAAAAATAATGTTATATGAAAATTTGCTCGTGAAATTTTTGCACAGTGTGTTTTAAAGTTAAGGTAAAGAACAACTATTCACTAAACCCTGTTTAATAAAGCGCAATCCTAAAGTTTATAAAAAACTGATTTTACGATTTAAAGTTGATATATTTACATTTACATAGTTTGCTAAAAAATCTTGACTAATCTTGAATTGACGAAAAATTGCCCTTTGCATTTTTTGCATCTGAGTGTATATGACCAACAAATATTCATACTTAAGCGTGCTTTGTACGATAACAGATATGTTTATGAGCCAGTGGCGTAGCTACACCCCTGTATATCTTCGGTTAGGTCTGGTTTAGAGGACCCCATTCTGGGCCTCGACCGACCGGTTAAAAATTGAGGTATGCGGGAGAGATCAAAATTCCTAGTTACGCCACTGTTATGAGCATTAAATACATTAATATTTCTTAACTGTTAAAGTCAAAGCTCTCTTGATCATACATATTTCTCGAAATTTATACTACTACATTTTTTGTGTAGTTAGCGGTCCAAACTCCTTGGACGAAAAATCAAACTTGGCACCTCGAGGTCGATCCCGGGGACCCCTTTCTGAAGCCAACTTAAACCAGTTAGACCATAGGAACAGTGTGAGTGGTTATGGAAGATCAAAAAGTGGGAGGGATGAACCCCCTAGACCACCTCCTCCCAGAGCAGAAGGTATTTTGCTTCTTTTCTATACATTACTGTAATGTCTAATTTATGTTCTTTTAAAGATTATTACAGTACTAGAAGGCAGATCTATGAAGATGATCCAATCATCCAGAAAACTAAACAACCTATGTGAGTATAATATATCTTACGAGCTTTAATAATTTTGTAATTCTAAACTTTTTTTGGATTATAATATAATTATATATATATTTATGCATCATAGGAGTATACAAACAGATATAAATAGAGTATGGGATATACATATGTTTGAATTAATGATATAGATAAGTATTTATTATTTTTTTTGCATGTATTTTTTTATTTAGACCTGATGCAAGATTTATAACATTCCACAAAGAGGGTTCAGTTGGTATTCGTTTGACAGGTGGCAACTTTGCCGGTATTTTTGTAACGGCAGTTCAACCTGGCAGCCCTGCTTCGTTACAAGGTCTTCAGCCCGGCGATAAAATTCTCAAAGTAAGAAAATATTGATCATTGATATATTGCCCCTAATTAACTTATTAGTTGTTCCAAGATGAAAATGGGTTGGGGAATGACAATCCGTGTCAATAATATTGGCGAGGTCAAGCCCTAGACGTCATTTATTTGGCCCGTACTTTTTATTTTTTAATCGTGCTTACTACCAGTTGGCCTTAAGAAGGTTGTAATTTACAGTAATGTCCGCCTATAACGAACCCCCTTATTGCGAACTTTCGTTTATAACGAACCAAATCTATAGGTACGAACTTCGGTATTACTAAACGTGTGTTAATTTTTTCGCAAATAACGAACCCTTTTGTAATCGGGAGATTAATATATTTAACAGAAATTGATATTTAAAATGTAATTCTAACTAGCTTGACAAACAATGTCTTCTCTGGGCCGAAATCAACAATCTCTGACATTCAACTGTTTCCAAAGCCTACCACTCCGCTACTCCCAAACTTCAGCGGTCACGGGGTGCAGGCACGGCGTGAAAATGACTGCCTATCATAAGGATCATAGGCGTCGATAACATTCGGCCATTCCTGACTTATGAGTGTCCTCACTCCTCTCAATCACACTAAAAGGACATAAATAATCAGAACCTTTTAAATGGCATTTTTAAATGCTGAAATAAAAATATTTATTAGTTTTTTTTTGCTGCTGGGCCATATCTTTATCAGCTAATTGCTACCATTGTTTCATCACACTAAAAGGACAAAAATAATCAGAATCGTTTAAAGAACATTTTTAAGTGTTGGAATAAAAATATATTATGTTAGATTGTTTGCTGCTGATACTAGACAATTGATACAAAACCAATTGACAAAACCTTATCAGCTAATTGTTACCATTATTACAACACACTAAAAGGAGAAACATAATCAGAATCATTTAAAGGACATTTTTAAGTGAATTTCATAAATGATCGGTTTACTACACGTATGTATATTATATAGTCACTTACTAGCGAAAAGTTGTTCCATTATTTCACTCAATTTTGCCGAGATCTACCGCACGCTACACAACCAACTATTTTAGAATCTTTTTCGATAAATCGCGATAGTGTCACTGTTAATTTAAGTTCTGCCACAATTTCCATCTAGATTTACTACCTTTATACAACTATCAGTAGTAGAATAAATAATAAATAACATAAAATAAGCTCCGTAAAGACTGACAAATCCACAAAATTTCAAATCAAATTCAAATGTGCCAAATGAATCGTTAAACAGAACCATAAAATAATTAACTAGAAAGAAGTGTCAACTCTGTGTTAAATCGTGGAACACGATACGCCACCGAAAGCCTTCGTTGTCGTCTGGAGAACTAATTTTCCAATTGACAGGTTGACATGATAAGGACATGATGGCTTAATTTTCATTTCCGTTTCCGGTTATTCAATGGCGGGCCCTCTTTCAGTTCAAATGTATTTTGTATTTTTCTTTAGCAATACTAGACTACCTAAAGTTGAAAGTTTCAGTAAATTAAAAATATAGCTGAAATATTAATAACACATCTATAACTAAACTTAAAGTAATAAAATAAGTAATAAGTAAAATGGGGTATAATTAAAAAAATGTATATATGAAAAATATAAATTATATATTTATGAAACAATCGATAGTAGGTACTTCTGAAAAACTGAAAAACTTTTGAAGACATTTTTTACCTTTCCACATAAAATGTCTTGAATATACCTGTATATACCTGATATATTTTTTATTTACTTAATAAACAACGAAATTATTAAATTACTGTTCGACTTTTGTTTAATATTTTTAATTAAAAAGCTCAACAAAATATTTCAACGCATAAAAAATAAAAATCATGTTTGAAAACCACTGTTCCACGTTTCGGCTTGATCAAGAAGTTTAATGAGAATAAAATAACACATACTCAACATAACTAATATACTAAATAACACATAACTCTAGAAATTTTATTCCTCAGGAGGACCATAGATAGATATTTATTTAACTTTTAATTTTAACAATAAAATTTTACTTTTTACGTGATAAACTGTCTGTTTGTGCTGAGGTTCGCAGCCATCTTCTTTCGCAAGCGAAATCGACCCTTATCAACCGACTACGGTAGCGCCCTCTCTTCGAGACCTCTTGAACCACGAGGCGATTCATATCACCGAAATCCGAACAATTACTTTAAACTCAAATCTGTCTCCATGACAACTTTTTTACTGTATAAAAATACTACCTACCTTAAAATTTATCTTGTAATTACCTTAGTATTTATCTCGATTTTTTTTCTAGCCATTTTTAAAATACCTTTCAGAAGAGATTTGTTCAGATAATGTGTTGGCTCACTACCTTTTCCTGTTATCTTCCGGAGTCTGTAACTTGTAGGGGTGATATGACGCTTCTTTCCAGCACTGCATAGTCTCAAGGTCAAAGTTAAGTCAATAGTCGTCAGTAAGTCAGAAATACGCCGTTACGGCCTAAGAACGCTGGATTAAACTCATCGCCACTTCTGATGTAATCGGGAGATTAATATATTTAACAGAAATTGATATTTAAAATGTAATTCTAACTAGCTTGACAAACAATGTCTTCTCTGGGCCGAAATCAACAATCTCTGACATTCAACTGTTTCCAAAGCCTACCACTCCGCTACTCCCAAACTTCAGCGGTCACGGAGTGCAGGCACGGCGTGAAAATGATTGCCTATCATAAGAATCATAGGCGTCGATAACACTTTTATAACGAACTTTCGGATAAAACGCACCTTAAATTTTGATATGATCGTAAGATTTTTCTTTTGTAACGAACCTAAAACGATATTTTACCGCTGGCGCTGGAGATTCCCCGAGTTCTTTCCATCGCACGTTTTTAATGAACCTAAAACGGTATGCTGGGGATTCACCGAATTAGATGTTTTAAAAATGTCGTACAGTTGCCAGTAAATTACAAATTCAATAAAAAAAGCATGGATGACCTCAGAGATTTTTGCGGATGAATTGCGGGAATGGGATAGCGAGTTACGACGTAAAAACCGAAGAATCATATTGTTAGTGGACAACTGCCCAGTTCATCCAGATGTTAGAAATTTGAACTGCATCAAGTTAGTGTTCATACCACCAAATACCAGTTCGAAACTACAACCTATGGATCGGTGTCATCCATAGCTTAAAGAGCCACTATCGTCGACTTCTTCTTTCGAAAATGGCACATTTTATTAATAGTGGGGGTGAAAATTTTTCTATCAACCTTTTGGATGGAATAAACTTCATTCATATGGCATGGCAGAGGATATCAAAACAATTTTTAATTTTTTTCAACACGGTAGTTTCCTAAAAGTGGAGAATGATTTGGATTCAGACGATGACTTGACAGTAGCCGAATGGCTGAAAAAAGTTGGACAAGAACATGATAATATTCTAGACAATCTTTCTTGTTCTGAAAATGAGTTTAATGAATTTGTCCATATTGATGATAATCTTGTAAAGTGTCGAATACTTGGATGATGATGCCATTGTCGCTTCTGTGTCTTCTTCAGTTTATATTGATGACGATGAGGAGGCGGAAGATGAAGAACCTGTGAGTACAGAATTGAGACTAGTTCCGACCACATCAGAGGCACTTCAACATATTGATAACGTTCGTCATTTCCTTCAGTCACGAAATACTCCGCAAAGTGTTCTTAATCAATTAGCCGAAGTAGAATTACATATTAATGATATTAATTTCACAAAAATAAAGCAAACTAAAATATTTTTTTTAAATTAGACTCTTAAGAACAGTTGTTAATGTATCTACCATATTACAAAATATATTTTATGTTATGTACCATATCTATGTATTAATAAAAATACCACATCTTTTATATTTATCAGCATTTATCGTTTACTGCGAACTTTGCTTAAAACGCACCGTTTTCGCCGGTCCCATGAGGTTCGTTATAACCGAACATTTTTAAATTCTGTATTTTTAAATTGACTAAAAATGATTGTTAAATTGTAGTGAAATTCGAAAGAAATATTTTTTGGAAATAGATTTGTATGCCTGGAAACATTCTATCCTTTTTAATCCTTCTATAATTAGTGTTAATTTTTGACAAGTTTTAGTAAATCACGTCTAGAGATTGACCTCGCCAAAATTATCGTTGATTGTCATTCCCCACCCGTCTTGGAGGCCGTGTTTTCGATCATACGGTATTAATGGTTATCTCTATGTATAATATGCATCTATTATTATTTCAATTTTATGTAAAATGTATAAAATTATAACCAGTTATGATTAATTAAAAAAATTATTCTACATCCTGCACCATCCTATATTCTACATCGTTAGAAATTAATAGCTTTTTAGAAAAATAATGTAGATATATGTATATTTTCTACATTACCGAAACAGTACCGAATTAGACAGACCACCTAAGAAACCTTAGGTCGGTCTTTACACGTGTAGGAGTGAGTCGCTATGGCGATCTAGTAGTCGGAAAGAGCAAAAATGCGAAATATTTATTACATAACCACTTAATCCGATGCGCGACGCTAGTTTTCATGCGTTTGGGAAAATACTTGCTCCTCTTTCTTTATTTAGTATATCTAATTTTACTGAGCGTATTGACCGTACTCTTCGTACACACGAAAATCGGTACCCCAGGCCAGAAATGCCGATACGGTATACTGATATTTATTTGTATTTCTTTAGGTAAATGATATGGATATGACTGGTGTAACTAGAGAGGAAGCTGTCCTCTATTTGCTGAGTCTACAAGATCGAATCGAACTTATAGTTCAGTTTTGTAAGGAGGAATACGACAGCATTGTTGGTATGCTTATTATTTAGAAACATACATGTATCGAATATAATTAAATTATTTATTGCTCATTGTAGCTTCCCAAAAAGGAGACAGTTTTTATATCAAGACTCATTTTCATTATGAAAGCCCAGAAAAGGGTGAGATGTCATTTAGATCTGGCGATATTTTTCACGTCATTGACACTCTCTATAATGGGGTGGTAGGTTGTTGGCAAGTGTTTCGAATAGGTACGTTTCTGAAATAAATTTTCTTCTTTTTATCTGACTTTTGAATCTTCATTTCAGGTCGCAATAATCAAGAAGTACAAAAAGGTATAATTCCAAATAAATCTCGCGCAGAAGAACTAGCAACCGCGCAATTTAACGCAACTAAAAAGGAAATGTCCGCTAACGAATCTCGAGGTAGTTTCTTTAAAAGGAGAAGAAGCTCTAATAGAAGATCAAAGAGGTGATTGTGGCAATTTATTTTCAAATTTTTCTTATTATAAAACATTTTTTCAGTTTGGGAAAGGAACACTGGGATGACATTTTATTTTCGGATACGATCTCCAAATTTCCTGCATATGAAAGAGTTTTACTGAAGCATCCAGGTTTTACAAGGCCAGTTATTCTTTTTGGACCGATAGCTGACATCGCTAGAGAGAAACTGTTGAAAGATTTTCCGGACAAATTCATTTCTCCCCGTATGTATTTTACGTTTTGTTGTGTTTGATATATTATAAGGGTTTATTAAATAAGAGTTTCTATTTTAAGGGGTTGTGGATTTGAATTAAAGAAATACACTTTTTATATATATATATATTTACGTTTTGTTGTGTTTGATATATTATAAGGGTTTATTAAATAAGAGTTTCTATTTTAAGGGGTTGTGGATTTGAATTAAAGAAATACACTATATATTAACCATGCATCAAATAAATTAAAAATAATCGAGTTGTTTAACTTTGAAAATATCGCCAAAAAATCCTATATGGGTATTTCGCCACTGCAAGAAAATTTACAAAATAAAATAGTTATTTTTTGTAAACACTGCTGCGTTAATCCAACGGAAACTACTTATCAGCAGTTAGGTTTATGGATAAACAAATTTGCCTAACGAACAAAAAATTCTTAACGTTTCGGAAAGTTTATCTCTTTCCGTCGTCGGAAGCAAAAAAAATACAAAGAATAAAGAAAAAAAACTATTTAAAATATTTAAATTCAACTATTCGAGAACACTAATTTTTTTTTTAAACAGATACGTCTACAAAAACCGTTGAGGTTCTTTAAAATGACATATCAAGTTAGACTTCAAAATTAACAATTCTTCTTCTTATAACGCCCTCTCTTGCCGAAGGTTGGCGATCCAAATGGCAATTGTGGCTCTGGAAACTGCAGCCCGGAAGATTTCCGCAGACGAGCGTTCAAACCATCTCCTTAAATCTTTTAGCCATGAGTTCTGGCGTCTTCCTTCTGATCTTTTCCCTTGCACTTTGACCTCTATTATGAGGCGCAGTATTTCGTATCTACCACCACTAATCACATGACCTACCACCACTAATCACACGACCGCATTTTTCTTTCCTTGATGGTGTTCAGTATCTCTTTTTGTTTCTGTATGCGCTGGAGTACTTCATCGTTGGTGATCCTTTGTACCCATGAGATTCGCAGCAATCGTCTGTACACATACATTTCGAAGGCTTCTATTCTCTTTTCGGTCTGTGCATCCAGTGTCCAGCTCTCACATCCATAGAGTAACACGGAGAAGACGTAGCATCTGGCCATTCGAGTTCTGAGTTCCGCACTGAGGTCTCGTCTTGTAAAAAATGGTTTCATACGAAGATTTTTCTCGATTGCTCAATTCTTGAAAATATTTCTCTTTTCAAATTAACAATTACTACCTGACAATTACTTAATAAGGCAAAACCAAAAAACCTCAACTTTCTGTATGATTATTTTTAATTAATTTTCGTATGTTATGTCTATGTTATGTTCTTTAAAATCAAAGAAGCGATTGCCATACATTACTAACATCTACAAATGCATGAGCAATACATTTATTTTTATTAGAACTAACCGTTTCTTTCATTATAATTTTGGCTTTGTTAAAATTTATTTTGTGAGCTGTGTTCCATGAATGCTGGCAAATCTTAGATTTGTGAAAATCTCCCTTTCTTAAATAATGTTTATGTTCTTTAATTCGAACATTTAAGTTTCTAGATGTTTCACCATTGTAAAATTTATCGCATTCACATGGTGTTTTGTATATTACATTTTTTGTTTGTTGTTCTGTATTCATTGGTTTAGTTTGTTATAAAATGGATCTAAGTGTATTTTGTATTTTGAAAGATGTTCTTATGTTATATTGTTTTCCTATCCTTCTTATTTTGTTATAAAATGGATCTAAGTGTATTTTGTATTTTGAAAGATGTTCTTATGTTATATTGTTTTCCTATCCTTCTTATTTTAAAAATATAAGAAAATGTTTACATTTTGAAAACCGCTGACATCAAGCGGCAATCAACAATCAACTGGCTCTCAGCTTATTCAGTAGCTGGCGCAAGCTACTGGATACATATAAATCAGTCTGTATGACCAAGAAAGTATACACATAATTTAATCGAAAATACTTAGTAATTTAGCCATAACAGAAAAAAGAATGTGCAATAATTGAAGTGCCCAGGGGAAAAATATGATAAGCGCCGTTTTACTAATTTTACAGCAGAGCACTGGACGGCTGGTGGTTTAGTTCATTGGGGATATTTGCTTGGAAAAAAGTCCGGAAGTTTTGCAACTTTGCAGGTCTATAGGTTTTATGGTTATAGGTCCCTAACTAAAATCCATAAAATACACATTTCCAGACTTGCCGCCGGCGCCGCCATCTTGCCAAGATGGCGCCCAAAACCGGTATTTTGTGAATATCTCGAAAACTGTGTTTTTCGCGAAAATTTGAGGAAAGCAAAATTAAAGAGAATAAAATTTCCTATAAAAAAGGTTTTATGAAAATTTTCGCTAAAGTCAACCGTTTAGGCAAAAAATCCCTGGAAATTTTACAATTTTGCGTAAAATATGACGTATTACGTATAGTCGATTTTCCGAAATCTAATGTCGATTAGGGTTCACTAAAACTAGTTTTAGTTTAGTTTCTTCAATTTTGTCATGAAACAGTGGCGTATCATTAATTCGCTCATTAATTTATGAATAATCAATTTTAATTATTGAAAATGTGTACTCGTTTCCACACAACCCAAGAGATAAAGTACATGGCGCGTTTATTTTAACGTAGTCTCCCCGGAGGCCTACTCCACTAGGTAAATTAAAAACTTTAAGTTATCTGCACAAGCCCGACGGATCTGGCTCATTGATGTCAAAGTCGATCGTGTCTGCTGTGCTGGGCTCATCAAGGTGGTCTCTCAATACGTCCAACTCTTCATCTTCAGCCGCCAGAGGGATATCTACAGGCAAGTCCAACCCCTCTTCGTCGGATTCGTCGAGTGACACTTCAGTGACGTCACAGGATTTCCCATTGCAGTATGCACAAATCATTGAACATTTTAATCCTGCTTTTCTGTAACCGCAGGCATTTGTGGCTTTACCGCAGTTGTTGGTTTTGCAGGATAAAAATGCTACTAGGGATTTTGGAGCTGGATCTTTCAACGTTGTGACTGGAGTAATGCCTGTTTTTGTTTTCTTCCAACCCCATTCTTCGGCATCTTTGGTACAACCAGACCAATGCTGAACCTGGTGGTAAGTTCGCAATGAATGCTGTCCAGCACGACAATTAATTATTCATAAATTAATGAGCGAATTAATGATACGCCACTGTTTCGTGATAAAATTGAAGAAATTAAACTAAAACTAGTTTTAGTGAACACTAATCGACATTTGATTTCGGAAAATCGACTATAGTATGTATATCATACTTTACGCAAAATTGTAAAATTTCCGAGCAGCTGCACGGTTTCCATGGTAACGTGACGTCAGCCTAGCGGCAGCATGTAAATCCCCCGCCCCGAATTTTTTTATCGGCGACCGATGTGAATGAGCTTTTGGGTAGCAGGAGTAATTAACCGTGTAAAGACTGTAAAGTTGTTGTTGATTATTTATTGTTGTTAATGGTTTTTGTTGATTTAACTTGTTAATTTTCTTCACAAAGAACTTTTGAAAATCCGTTTTATGACGATATTACTGATAAGTTTGCACCAATAAAGAACAGAAGAATTGAGCTGATTTACAAAAATTAGTAAGGTTAGTAATATAAATAAGTCAAATTTATTTTTGTTAATATTGCTTAATAAACAATGTAATACTAATTAATGTAATAATTGAATAATAATTGAATGGCTCCTCCGTTGTAACCAACAATTTTTTCAGTATCGAAATTTCAGTGAAAAAAAAACGAGGAAAAACGTTATACCTATGAAAATTACAACCTTATTTCACTGAAATCTCCATTTTGAAACAAATGTCGGTTACAACGTTTTTCGGGGAAGCCATTCAAAAATTACAGTGTCCGCCATAAAGTTGGATCCATACCAGGACGTTTTTTACCTATGGACCTGAGAACCACCAGCCGTTCAGTGCTCTTCTGTAAAATTAGTAAAATGGCCCTTATCATGTTTTTCCTCTGGACCCTTCATATGTAAAAATTCAACCATATTTTCATGTTTTTTTTTCTATTTTCTCTAAAACGGTATGGAAATTTGGAAAAGTATAAACTAATCCCGTTTATACTATACACTATACATCCATTTTAGAACAAGCAAACGTTTTTATGAAGAATGCATTTTTTTAAAATGTTAATAATAAAAAAGTTTTTCCTCTTGTAAACACAATCCGGTACAAGACATACTGTATTTTAGAAAATATTTTAAAAAAATATTGTGGAACACGATTTAAAAATAAATTAAAAGTTGCAAAGAATGATTCCCAATTATCGTATGAAAGAAATGTTTCATACATATTTGTTATATATTTGAACAGAACTGGATCCGTCGCCTGAAGATTCCAAGGCTCAAAAATCCTCAAATATCATTCGTCTGTCGGCCATAAGGGACGTAATCTCCACTGGGAAACACGCCTTATTAGACATCACCCCTAACGCCGTCGAAAGGCTAAATTACGCCCAAATGTATCCCATTGTGGTATTCTTCAAAGCCGATGCGAAAATGGTTATTAAACAACTGAGACAAGGCCTACCAAAGTAAGTTTTAACATTTAATTAAACCATAAATGTAAGTGTAGTATAATGTGTTATAAGGGGCATCTCTTTATTTTACATTTTTGTATATTTAAAAAACAAAGTGGTAGAATTAAGATAGGATTGCAATTAGTGTTTTCAAACCGGGATTCCGGGATACAGAAATCCTGGAATCCCGGAGTATGTTTATCCCACAAATCCCGATATTAAATCCCGGGATCCAGAAAATCTCGAATAATTTAAATGCCTAATCTAAAATGATTCTACTTTATACACTTTAGTCTTTCAAAGATCATATTTTATTTATACTAAGCAGAACGTCAATATCTAAAAATTATATTTTCGTGTTTGCTATATTTTTTTTTAATTATTAATTATGAATGTTACTTTGTTTTGTCTATTTAAATAAAGCTTTTACTCATTTTCTTTTTGATATACTGGGTGCGTCTCAAAAGTGGCACACCCCTATAACTTTTATTTTTTCAGATAAAAAAACGAGATTTTGGAAGTTAGTATATGGCATAAATTAGGATTGATTGACGTATTCATTTGTTTTTGGTCACTTCCTGTTTCCAGTGACTACAACTTTTCATTTTTAAATGGCACCCTCGGTAATTTTTTACTTTATTTTTATTCGATAGAAAATGACATATCATATGTCAACTTTTGATACTTTCGCTTAATAAAAAATCCTATTTTAAAGGTTAACCTAGAGTGCCATGAGCCATGTTAAAAACACTAATTCTTAATCAAGGAGCCTTGGAAAAATAGATTTGATCTTCTAATGTTTTTAGTGTCTTGTCCTGGCCAGTTAGAAAATGCTCAAACCGTATTTTTAATCATATCTCAATTTTTTCAAATGGAGCGAGGGTGGCTCATTAGCATATTTGGAAAAAGCATTTTTTTACGAATAATTTGTTACCACACACTTGGTATTTTGATTGGTCAAATTTTCGTTACGAACCACAATTTATAATTTCAAATAAACCATTTGCGAAAATGTCAAAAGTTGACATATGATATGTCATTCTATTCAGAGTGTCATTTTCTATCAAATAAAGTAAAAAATACAGAGGGTGCCATTTAAAAATTAAAAGTAGTAGTTATTTGCGGTGAAACAGGAAGTGACCGAAAACAATTGAATACGTCAATCAATTTTAGTTTATGTCATATACTAACATACGAAATTTCGTTTTTTTTTAAATAAAAAAAAGTTATAGGGATGAGCCACTTTTGAGACGCACCCGGTATGTAGCTGCATTTTTAGAAGTATTTCTTCTCTCCGGGATCCCGAGATTATAGGTTCTTATCCCAGGATTTCAAAATGGGATCCCGATCACGAAAATTGGAAACCCTAGTTGCAATATACCCTAAACGGTTAATCAGTTTACATTTATTTACTACACCAGAAAATCCTTATGAAAATATACAAAACAAAATTAACCTAGAAATTATTTTAGTATTTTTTTTATTTGGTTTCCTGCAAACTTTAGAGACCATTCTGTTAAACATAATTTGATTGAAAAATGAAATTTAAAGTTTCTTGCCATTTAGGTGTAATCATGGGTAACCTCATCTCCGATTACACCACTCTGTATAATGCAGTTTTCGTTGCCTTGTAAATCAATAAATCGATTACATAATTTGTCTAGGACCGCACATAAAAGCTCTAAGAAACTTTTGGAACAGTGCCAGAAATTGGATAAAGTCTGGAGTCATATATTTAATTCCACGGTTAATTTGACCGATAATAGCGACACCTGGTATCGTAAAGTGAGGGAAATAATTGATAAACAGCAAGGCGGTGCCCTCTGGATGTCGGAGAGTAAGGTAAGATATGCGCTAAAAGTTTATTATGTGATGATAACTTGACAATTCATATTTTCTATAAATAACTTTCTTACAGCGATTTTTAATGCAGAATTTATGTTTGTTTGGAAAATCGGTAAAAAATTAAAACAAAATAATGGGCAGATAATGATTATATTACCATAACTAAAAATTCAGTTTATATCGATTGCGATAAGTAATGTCTGCACGTTTGTGTTGGGTTCATTATTTATGAATCCTTCTGTAAAATATATATTTAAGCATAACTATTGAATTAAAAAGACCAATTAAGTACCTTGAAGGTACTTTAATATGACTGACTTAAATTATGATTTATGAGTGGCGTTCTATTTTTTTATTAAATGTGTTAAAATATGAAGCTGTGTTTATTTGACGCTGAATCAGTAGTAATTATTAATGATGAATCAGTATTAATTATTAGTGAATCAGTATTAATTATTAAAATTGATAAAAAAACGTATTTCTTATACATATAAATAAATAAGTTAATTTAATAACAAAAACACATATACACTACTGAAACAACAAAGTAAATTTCACAAAAATGACTTATCTTAAATCTTAATAAACTATTTTTGGAAAGTAGTAAATAAATGCGAAAATGCGAGAGTAAAAAACTAATTGGATTACAATCAATAGTTTTTGTTGGTAATTTGTGTTCAAGTAAAGAACCACTGAAAAATTTGTCTGGGTATATCTATACCCAAAACCTTTAATGTAACATTTATAGGGTTGTTCACTTTGTAATAGTACGACGTTTGAACAGTTGATATAGAAAAACTTATTTCAAGAAGAAAATTTAATATCGATATAACGTCAAAAAATGTTCGTTTTAAAAGACAGGTTGCTGAGAATTGCAAAAACATCGATTATTTTTGACAGTACCTCTAGAGATATTTAAATCAAATATTGGTATACTGTATTATACCGGGTGATTTTCAAAATTGGCTCACCTCTATAACTTTTTTATTTGTTCAGATAAAAAAAACGAGACTTGGTACGTTAGTGTGACATAAAACAGGATTGATTGACGTATTCAATATTTTTGGGCCATTTCCTGTTTCACCGGAAATCACTACAACTTTTGATTTTTAAATTACACCCTCGGTATTTTTTAACGACAATTTGATTCGAAATACCAAGTGTATGGTACCAAATTATCCATAACCATTTTGTGGGGCTTGATTTGGACATCCTTTAATAATTCGACCAGAATAAGACACCAAAAACATTAGACGACCAGGACAACACACGAAAAACAATAGAGAATTAAATCTTTTCAACCTTCCTAGGATCGTGATTAAAAATTAATGCTTTTAACACAGCCATGACACTTTAGTTTGAAATTTAAAATACAATTTTTTTACCAACAATGTAAAAAGTGTTTACATGATAAAAGTCATTCTATTCAGAGCGTCATTTTCTATCGAATAAAGTAAAAAATACCGAGGGTGCCAGGGGCGTCTACAGGAATTTATTTTAGGGGGGTCCAAACAAAAAGTAATATAGAATTTGCTCTTTAGAGAGCTATTTTTAACCCAAAAGCCTAATATTAATCCCAATTTGCAGTATTTAGGGTGGGGGGCAAAGACTCGAGGGCCTCCTCTGTATCCGCCGCTGGAGGGTGCTATTTAAAAATGAAAAGTTGATGTCATTCCCGGTGAAACAGGAAGTGACCGAAAACATTTGAATACCACAATCAATCCTAATTAGTATTATTTGTGTCGAAATTTCAGCAGATGCGAAAAAACATCAAAACACATATTTGTGTAAGAATTTTTGTAAGAATTGACTATTTTATTACAGATTTAGCTTAACAATGGTGTGATATTTATATTTAAACAGAATTTATTTAAACAGCGCGCAAATTATTTTTTAAATCTTATGGCTACGAATCCCCATAACTTCAGCACTAGCTCATGGGCCGAGATATTATTACTAAATATAGTAACGCATAGTGTGATAATGTCTAAAAGGTAGATATTACTCTACTTGTAGACACACATGTAGTATCACAAAAGGTAGACATTTTGTCAAAAATCTCAATACCCTCTATTTCTAAAACACACCCTTTTCAACCCTACTTTGATACAAGATTTTCTACTTAAAATAAGTTTCTCCATCGATTGGCAAAGTCCTGCTAGTGAAAAGTGGACAACCTTGTGATCTGACATTTTTTAAATTTTGGAGAGTATAATATATATTAAGATATAGTATGGTGTTTGCTACTTTACGACTAACAATTAGGTGACGGTGTTTTCTTATTTTAACCAAATCCCTTTCCCTTTTGGTTTTAGGGTTTCCTTCCTACAACTATCTACCAATGTCCTCCTCTCTACCCCCGATCCGGGGGCTCGCTACCGCCCGGCTGGGGTCAAAAGACCCGATCGCGGCCGCGTCGCACGCCCCTGTCGATGTACGGGGGCAGTAGCGCCTACTACGATGACGAGCACTCTCCCGTCAGGTGTCGCGAATGCGCCTCCATGTATACAGAGCGTACTTATTCGCCATACGAACGGAATAATAATTATGCAAGTAGATGGCTTGGGAAACGGAGAGATTATGTTGTGATGGATAACAGTAGTGACAGTAGTAGTGCTTGGGCTGCAGAAAATAACGCATTAGAAAGGTTTAGGGACACCACTGGAGCTGGCTTTGAACCTATTTGGGAGGATGTTTACGCTGAAATTTAATCTGCTTAATACACTAATCGTTAATCCATTTTTGTTGTGTTTTGATTTTCGTAACGTTATCTGTAATAACATATTTAACTAAAATACCCTGCAGTATATAAGAAAATATAGATCTGATATAAAATTTAATGTTTCGGCATATTGGAGCACGATTAAATTTATTTAGGGTTATGTTTTAACTTGTGTAAACAAGATACGATGTTTTCATTAGTTTATTTTAATCTTCCATGATACATTTTGTCCTTGATGGCTTCACATCCTCGTGTTATATCCTTTAAAAATAGAATAATGTATAAATAATAATGGTACGTTTAAAATTTTGTCAACTCAATACTTCAAAATGTTTACTTCATTTGCATATTGTAACCACAAATTACCAATGTCAAAGTATGCAAAATAAAAATTCTGTAAACTTTGCCTATGTTCTGATAATGGCGCTCATATATTTTTTTACTGATACTATTTTCAAATTTTGTGTCATTCGTGTATTTGTATCAGCAACAACAACAATTTAATTAAAATCTATTAACATCAAGAAAAAAGTTGATAATTTTCATTTGGAACGATACACGAAAAATAAAGTTGAGTTGGCCTGGAACGATGAGAAAGACGGTGACGACAATCGATGACGTTTACTATACAGGGTCTGGCATAGTGCGTGGAGCATCTGTAGCTCTTAGAATAAAAACTTGGGAGTTTTTTTAAGTGCTGATATAAAATATGTACTAGAATTAGAGGTGTGTAGTTCGTGAACGAACTAGTTCCAATGAACTATTCCGACCCCGGACTACAAGGAACTAGTTCCTGCTGTCTCAAAGAACTAGTTCCCCAGGACCTATTCCGGGATCGAGACTGTGACCGATGACCGTATAATAATACGCGACGGCGACGGATCGGCCAGCGCGATCGATGCTAGACAGGAGTGGGTAGTGCCAGCCGTATGTTATCCGTAGGATCCGGACATAGAGGAACTAATTAAAAGACTAGTTCACGGAAATCTATTCAGTCGGCAGATCCGAGATATAATACAAGGCGACGACGATGGATTCGGCCTTGTGTGTGTGTGGCGTAATTGCCACAGAAAATTGTCGTGGATACTGTTTTCGATTTTTAGCTTGTTCTTTAAATAGTTATGGGAATGTTTCACTTTAGGTCCGTAAAATTAAGAAATATCTTATAAAATGAAGTAGATATTCTGAATTTTTAGATAAAAACAAAAAGCTTGAAGTGAGGAAAAATGCAATTTTTCGTAAACTTTTCGTAATATTTGTTCCAATTGATTTGTGATATAGTTTTTTAAATTATGATTTGAGTTTCTTTTTTAATTTTTGTTTATCTGCAATAAAACTTACCTATATGTTTTTAATATACACAATTACACGTCTCCTTCTTATATTTCGTACATTATAAAAATTATACAGATCATACTGTGAATAGTTGACTGACAACGAAACCCATTAGCTAGCAACGGGGATGTCAATGTTAGTCGGGAACTAATGTGAACTCATCACCTAGTTCAAGGAACTATTCCTCTGAAGGAACTAGAATTCCTACCTCTAACTAGAATGTATTTCAGGAAAATATTTCTTTTCTAAAAGCTTCTACAGAGCGGCTCAAAAAAGTGTGAGTGGATCGGGATTATTTTTTTTAAATGGAACACCCTGTATATTATTGTATTTTTGTCTTCTTATCAGATCACTTTACATAAGATTACTTACTAAGATATGAGTAAATATATTTCGATTGTTTCAATGATATTAATAAATAAACAAAAAATATATATTTTTCAGCTCTTTTTAAAGAAAATTATTAAAAATACAAGAACTGTCCTGAAATCAAAACTATTTTAGGTACTTACTTTAGATGGTCTGTACTTACTTTGCTATAAATATCGTAATCTTAAATCGTATAGGGTGTTCAAAATTCTACGCCATACCTTTGGCCATACTTTCTAAAATATAAAATAATTTTTCTTCGTTTTTTTTTTTAATAAAACACACTGTATATTATTTTTTTAGTAGATGAATTAAAAAATGATTTTTTTTTAGAGTATTTCAAAAATGTTTAACGGTTTTGCAGATATTCGAGGACTTATTAAATGCCATATGTTTTATATGGCATTTCCCACAGTAAATTTTTGTCAAAGCCACCCAATGATTTTTCTCGTATTTTACCGTTGAAAGAACCCTATGAAATAATACCGCGAGTATCTGTGAAACCGTTAAAAATTTTGAAATACTCTAAATACAAAAAATGTTCATTTTTATATCTCCATATATTAAAAAGAAAATATACAGGGTGTTCAATTTAAAAAAAAACGAAGAAAAATTATTTTATATTTTAGAAAGTTTGGCGTAGAATTTTGAACACTCTGTATGATATAAGTTACGATATTTATAGCAGAGTAAATACAGACCATCTAGAGTAAATACTTATTATGGTTTTGATTTCAGGACAGTACTTGTATTTCTAATACTTTTTTTAAGAAATGCTGAAAAATAGGTATATATTTTTTTATTTATTTATTAATATCTGTGAAACTATCAAAATATATTTACTATTTACTCATATCTTATGATTATGTAAAGTGGTGAAAAAGGAAGCCAAAAATGCAATAATATACAGTGTGTACCATTTAAAAAAATTATCCCGATCCACTCACACTTTTTTGAGCTACTCGGTGGGAGTTAAAATATTTTCCTGAAATTTATCCTAGTCTGGCCTAGTACATACCATAGGTCTGCACTTAAACAAAATTTCCAAGTTTTTTATTCTAGGAGCTACAGATGCCCGACGCGCTATTGCCTTACCCTGTATAATTTTACATGTAAATTTGAAATTAAATAACTTTGGTTTTAAACTGAAAAATAGTAACTCTAGATACTTGTATCTTCTGATTTAAATGTTTTTAGTAACCAAAACATATACGATCAACAAGTGGTGAAATTCATTCATCATTATTTTACATCCTGCTATTAACTTCACAATATTTGTGCATCTCATTAAAATTGATTAAGTGGCTTTACTTCTACTGCTTTGTTCCTTGTATACCTCTATTTGTTTTTGATCCTGCCCCAGTAAGTACTTATATATAAAAATAATAATCTTGGGATTGATCTCTATCTTCTGGGCTAGTTGTTGATATTTAAAATGGGTATTTTAAAATGTAAATGTATGTAAATTTTAGGGAATCAAGTCGAGATTTTTTAAAGTGTCACTACAAAAATTTAGTTTTTCGAGATTAAAAACACAGGGTGTGATTTTAGTAGTCAAATTTTGAGGGGGGTGATTTTTTGACGAAGAAATATATTAACATAAGTCCATAAATACTTTCAATATTCTGTGTGTCCAGCAAAATATATATGTTTTTGTAAATATCAAAATAACTTTTAGTCGATTTTGTTAAAATATAGCAGTGATATTTCAGCAAAGGCAAACTGTTAACAGCAGAGAGGAGCTAATTTAACCTAAGATTATATAATCTTTTTGTCTCAACATCGCAAAAGATTCACCCCTTGCAGTTTGGCTACATATTTAAATAACACCCTGTATATGCAGGGATACTTGTTATATGTTATCCTATATATTTTAAAAACAATCTTCTATTCTTTCAATTTTTGAATGTTGATCGTCGAAATCATATATGTATTTTAACTTTGCCACTTGCAACTTCGACTACTATCCGAGTAAAAAACGACGTATCGTTCTCTGTGGATACCCCACGTCAATCAATTAATAAAAATAACATTGGATTTATATGTATAAGTCCAATACTTTAGGTGGACTATTGACCTTACCTGAAGCACCTCGCAAACACTCCTTACAACTTCAATAATAACGTGCCTATATATGTACTAACAAATTCCGAAATTAACAGGCTGTTACCTTCCTTTGTTTGGCTCATAACCTAGCATGTATAATCATTATATGTCCTCATATATCACAATCACTTACAGCCTGAAGAATCACTCTCTGACGACTTCCTCTTCCCCATGTCTTCATTGCGTCTCTCGTACGCCAGCTCTCCCGAAAGCGATTTGGAACATAGTCCGGGCCCTCCGTCCTCTCCAACTTCTGGATCCGGCCCTGGACCTGTACCGGGACGATTAACTAAGGCCAGTTCTGACCCTAGCGTCGTAATGCCTCCAGAAAGTGCAACTAGTGATACATTACCGCCATATCAGGTAAAATAACTATAATTTATAGTATAATAAGTGCTAATTAACTATATTTTAGCCAACATACGATACTAGGTACGGATTTAGTGGTGGAAATCAAAATAGTAATCAAGGAATTATAGATAATAAGGACCCTACCTATGGATTGACTTCAGGTGATCCCCAGGCGGATTATGGAAAAGGGGATATATATTCCGCTAATATTTATCAAAAAGGGGACTATGCAGATCATAAAAGGTAATGACTGTCTCCATTTTGTTGCTTCTTATAGTGATACATTTTTTGGTTTACTTCAGACAAGCTAGTAGTCTTCATGGTCCTTACAATCATACCAAATCTCATGATCAATCCATGTCTCCCGCTAAAGAAGGATTATACGGCACTGCTCCTGATTTACCACCAAGAGTAGATAGAGCAGCAAAACCGATGGGTATAGTGACTACGCCGGGTAAGATTCCTAATGGAAGGAGCGCTCACGAAAGGTTATTTGGTACAAAACCGGGACTTACAGAAGGAAATGAAAATGGAGGATCTTTAGATAGAAGTCAAAATTCAAAATCGGTATTCCAAGTGTTTTGTTAACAATCATTTTTTATAATTAAATTTAAATATTTGTATAGGATTCACTGTCTAGTTATGATTCGTACAATAAGCAAAATCAAGCTGCTCAACAAAGAATCGGGCCTAATCTTCATGACGATCTCAAGACAACTCTTTCCAAAATAGACCCAGTAAATCAAAGCAGCCCGTCAAGAGGACCCTATCATCATAAGTATGTCATATTAAACAGACCTCGGGTAGTTTGAATGTCGACGTATAAGATAATGATAAAGATACCATAATTAATACAAACTGAGGCATGTTAAAAAAGTTACAAATACTAGACAACCGTATACATCTTTAAGAGAGTGCTTGGAATAGTATTGCAGCATGGGTTTTTCCATTCTATATCAACAGTTAATTGATCATTTTGCTATATTGTTAAGAGTCTATTACGCTGTACTGTTCGGATCGCTCTCAGGAGTCGGGTGAAATGAGTGTGTGGCCGAAGGAAATATATATTATTATTATATTTCAGAAATCTGCCTAAGGCTTAGCCTGATCCTGTCGTGTAAAGCCACACCTAGAATTCCAAACACACGTGCTTGGATTAAGGTTTGCAGAGCTTCAGCATTTGCCATAAAATAGCGAGCAATTTGTTACAAAACAATATAAATTATATATCACTGTAGTCAGAAAACTTCAATCTATTTCCGTATCGTAACTGAATTTTAAATTGTGTCTTTATTTTCGAGAAAATTTAGTCCAAAAATAAAGAATATTTTGTTGATGTTTGACTATCAAAATCTTAAAAATAAAGAAGTTGTCTAAAAATGTGCTACAAAACGGATATAGTATAATCTTTTATCTTTAATTTTCTTCTTCATTTGTGTAAAAATACCTAGGCAGTTTTACATAAAACGGTAAATGCCGAACGCTTATTTTGCTACTTTTTCGTAATACTGAAATGGACTTATTACCTCACATAAGATTTTTAGATTACAATTGGGGGGTCGGAACCTTTGGCGTTACAACAGCAAAATAAAAGCACTAATTCACCACTATGCACCAAAACACTTTACTTTTAAACAAGGGATGCGTTTCGAATTATAATTGTAAATTTTTTATTCAATTTTGATTTCTAACTCGCTTTAATCATGATTACCACACGGAGGAACCGACAACTCTGTATTTGTTTGTGTATCTGTGTATATTCATTTTTGTCTTATACAAGAAATATACACACCATCGATTTAGAATGATCAAGTGAATTTATCCAATAATGAATTACTATGAAGTATTTTATCCCTTTTTATATAATTTAGGTTAGGTGGCTCAAAGATGGATTTAAAATATGGTTTGCCTCCTGGCGATCCTATTGAAGAAAGTCCTAGGAACTCTCGGGAAGAAAATGGTGGTATGTTGTCTGATGGCGTTAGTCCTCGAGGGTCAGTAGAAAGAGATATGTATAGGTAAATAATTATATATAGGCATTAGGATAAATATCATAATTGTGATATACATATAGGTACTCCAGGTCTCCTGCTAAGCAAAACATTCCTTCAAAATCTCATATGGAAACTAAGACTGATTATGGGAAATATAGGTGAGTTAGTAAAAATTTGAATGTGAATAACGAGGAAATTATATTTTTTAACTTTAATAAATATTCTTTTTTAGTCGAAATCAACCTCCTCCAGAATATTCCCGGGCTTCTAATCAAGATCTCAGAGAATCTCAGCTCAGCATACATCAACATTCACCTCTCAGGAGTCCTCCTTTAAACCACAATGGGTACAAAAGAAAAAATACATCAGTTCTCAATATATTTACATTTTACGTATTTTTAGATATGATATGGGCTCTCCCAATATTAACGGAAATCAGTACAAACCTATACCACCTCCCAAACCTAAAAATTACAGGCCTCCCCAAGGACAAAATTACGGAATGGTACAACCGCCTCCTGTCTACCAACATGGTAAAAGTCACAGCAATCCTGTGGATCCAAGACTGAATCAAACTCCGCCCAATTATTACTACAATGCTCAGGCTGTGCCCCATCACGCCACTCCGTATTACCCCCCTACAATGGGCGGACATTACGACATGGCACCACCGTATCAACATGAATCTCCCAGAAGGCATCCGAGTATTTCGTACGCGAGTCGCAGCGAGATTCAGCCCATAGCTAGCCACGACTACCCACCGCCTTTAGACAATGGTGGAGGAGAACACAGAGCGCCCCCAGTTGTTGATTTGCAAGGCTCAAGAGAGCAAAGAGGTTCTGCTTTTGAACTGTACCGTAAGCCAGTGGGACATAATTTGAGGTACGTATCTGTAATCTGTGCAGTTGCTAAAAATATTCGTTTTTGTTTTTTTGTCTTGATTTTTGTATGTACACAGATTTATTTTTATGTAGAATGTATTGCTTAACATGGGGAGTAAATTTGTTCTTTTTTTATTGTAAACGTTTGTTTTTTTTCGAATTCAGGATGTGTTTGATACTCAATTTTTGCAAGTACTTATTCTGGCCTGTTATTTATGGTTTCATTAAAACCAATTATGTTTAAATAATAACATATATATGTAAATATAAATTGAACTTAAGTTGACACATCTTGTATTTACTATTATTGTTTTCTATTCAAAAGTACTGTTTCTACTCTCAGATTATATTTTATTCAGGTTATTAATGAAGAAATTTAATAACAATTTCGGTTTACGCAGGTTTTTCCTTTTTCAATAGTTTAAAGATAAAATTTCCAAAAGTTACTGTTAGGTCTACTTTTGGAAAAAAGATGGAAGCTCTAGGGAAAAAAGGGCATAACTGCCGTTATACGACTGCCATTACAGCTTTAGTGATCACTGAATCGTTCATTGCAATGAAGAAGTCTGTTCTCTCTCTTACGCTAATACATACTGATCTGATCATCGAAACTGAGTGGTCTGGATTTTACCGTGTAAGACAGTGATGAGACAGCTTAATGTAAAATCAAATGTATTAAAAAGAGATAAAAGTTGGGTTGGTACATTTCCTCTATGCGGTATTGTCGGATTTTGCATTAAAATTTCAAACCGAACAAGTAGGCGTTTACGAAAAATGTAGCATCTAGGGTTGGAACTTCTATCTATTCTTCACAATTAGATTTCATTTTATTACAGCTCCGTAATAGATTATATTTAGCATGAAAGTTTTTAAAATAGTTTATTTTTTTCTAAATATATTTTTCTATACACGCAAAAACCGGCAACACTATTCCGCATTTTATTTTGTCCCTCAGTCTGTCAACCGGTCATTTATATTTATCTCTATCGCATGCACTAAAATACAGACCACGCAGTTTTATGGCCAGATCAGTCATTACCGTTCAATTTTTCAACTTCTATTGTTCTTTCTCTTACAGAGAGTCTCTATTCTAGGCAAGTCACAGTTCTGGTAGGATTCTAGATGAAAATATTCTCTGTACACCATCATTCGCATGTAAATAAAGGATCTATGCTTGACGTCATTCATTTTACCAGAATAGCTACGCTCGATACTGTGTATTGATATATTGTATAAAGATTACTAGGTTTTATTCTACCTGTGATTCTACTATGATTATTTATATTCTATTATTACAAATATTTTCTTAAGCAGCCGTGTTCAGATGATGCTTAGGTCATAAAATTTATACTGTATTGTTTGTCTACAGATTTATATCTTGTACTAGTATGGCTTCTACCATTCGAATGCTGAAAAAGATGTGTAGTGTTAGAATTATATCCGTCTCATTGTGTGTCTCAAGTCTTTTTTGTATTAGAAGTTCAATAGGGGCTAAAAGTAGCCCCTATTTTATAGATAAAAATCTATAAAACTACTGCTTTTCAGATACTGACTTTGCGTAAGCGTGCAACTGTTAATAACTGGTATAACAAACGAACTACTGTGAATGTACTAGACAGTTTGCTCCTATTAGTAAACAAACTTTGTAATATTTAGTGCAAAGAGTTCTGCTTAGCTTTTTTAATACTAACCACTAGAATGAAACCGCACAAACGGAAAGTTTTATTACATTCGATGAATAGATTAGTACTAGATGCCTGAGATTTTAATATAATATAATAATTTCTCAATTTTCTCTTATTCAGATTGTTAGTTATACACGGAAATGTAGATTTGATTAGAAAGCAATAAAATTAATTCTATGTTCTATGTCTTTTGTATTTAGGCATTTATGTTTATATTATTTTTTATGTTTAGGGTAGTCTATATGTTGGACTTCTAGTTCGTATCGATGGTACGTCGTGTGTAATTTTGTTTTTGAATTTGTTAATTGAATTTTGAACTTAGAGCATGCTGGTGGTGGTGCTGTATAGTTTTTATGGGTGATGTGTATAGTTGTGGGTTTTTAGTTCAACTAATGTATTAAGGAAAATCTTCAGGAGATCATTAAGCATAATAAAAAATAATTTACTACTTTAAGTACGAAAAGTAAAATATCATAGGTATTTGTTTTACAAATTTAAGATTTTATTTCTTTAGCGTCCATGACATATGTCATATACAGGGTTTCCTAATATTCCGTAGACATAAAACTACTGCGTATTTTTGGAATCAAAATAGGTACATTGGTCACAATTTACCTCTATACAAAAGTGCTTCGTTTGTCCGTTAGAGCATTAAACTTTAAAAAAATAAACACATTTTTTAAGAACTGTTATTCCGATTTGAATGAGATTTGGGGTGCCTGTGTTTTTATAAGCGCTTTAAAATTTGAATTTCAAAAAAAAAAGAAGAAAAATAACGGAATAGTGAAAACTACCCCCACCCCAACATAAATTTTAGTACTTAAAAATATTTTTCAACTCTATCGACTTTTTTTCGTAAAATGGCCCTTCTAATATTTACTACGGTTTTATCTCTTGTAAAATAACGCCACATCGCATAGTTTTTGAGAATTTTTTTTAGAAATATTTTTCCCAAAGCAACCTACAAAATATAAAGGAGCTGCGTTTAGATATTGAGAATAAGAGTGCATTTGGACGCGACGTCACACCTTAAAATTGTTTGTGCTTTTCCCACTATTTTCAAACAAGATTGGAATGTCTTTGTGTATAAGTATACCCTCTGTTTAAAAACGTTGTTGGACGTACATTTTGTCTGGAGTGCGTCTAACCTGAATAACTGAACGCAGCTAGGGAGTTCCAATATTCCATAAACATAGAACAACTATGTATTTTTTTAATCAAAATAAGTTCATTACATAGAATTTACCTCTATACAAAAGTGTTTCATTTGTCTGTTAGAGGGTATCAATTAAAAAAAATTGGCACCGGGAGGCACGTATAGCCGCCCATACTAAAATATGTTAATAAAAAGTTGGTAGGCAGTTCTTTTAGTTACAAAGTAAAGGAATTTTTCCAATTTTTTTCATCTCAAAAATTGCGACTTTGACTGATTTTGGTGTTATTACAAATTTTGTTGCAAATATTATTCCTAATCTTAAATTGAAAACCACGTTTCGCTAGCTACTGTAATTTTGGAGTTACGATTTTTGTAAATTTTTAACCCCCTCCCCTTACCAACCTCCCAACCCCACCAAAAACTATTGGCCATATTCTCGGGTGCCACAGTATTTTTGTGCCAAATTTGGTTTGGTTTGGTTTGGTCAAAATCGGTTTAGCGGTTTTTGAGTTATCGTGTTACAGATACACGGGCAGACAGACAGACACCATGAAAATATTTTGTATTTAGGTTATTTATGACCCAAATAACTCATTTTGAGTGATATTAAAAAAAACTTTTTTTGCCGATCTTAATAGCCTACTATACCTGTTGGTATGGTCGGCTAATAATGCCGAACGTTAATTCATCTCAGATTTATGAAGCTTATTGCACAGATAAAGGGAATAAATTTAGATTGGAAAGCTCGGCTTCCCGCTACAACGTATAATTGTTTTGGGTCGTATCCGTTGTATGGGGATCTGGCGCTGCTATAGCGGTTGCTAAGAACAACCGCAAACAAGAACAGAAAGAATTTTCTTTTGTCAAAGCCAGAATCTTCAAAAATTATAAAGTCTTTCAAAATTTAAACCGCCCTCATTGAAAAAATACCAAAAAGTGTTTATCTTGTGAGTTGAATTTAAATTTTATTTACTCAAACCCGTGATAATTGTGAAAAAGTGGCATTAAAAACTTAAAAAGCTGTGTGAACTGTGAACTGCAAAAACCATCGTGGTTCATGGCATAACGTCGGTTTCCAATGTTTCATAGGTATTTCATAATAATAAATTCGAATAAATAATATTTGGCGACATAATTCGGGAAAAAGCCGAACCGCCCCGAAATTATCAAAAGCTTTGGGTCGGGACCGTTGCAAGAATAGCGCCAAATAGTATTTACAGTGTTCTTATGGGCACTTTCCAATCTAAACTTGTTTCATTTATGGCATTTATTATTATTATTGTCAAATATAATTTGTGATACTGACATAACATTCCATATTTTCGACAACTAGATTACACAAGTATACACGGTTTTGGACCTGAGCAACTGAAAGCAATTTCTAAGATAATTTTTGGAGCTGAATTCAAATCAGCAGTCCATTTTTTAAGATTGGTTCTAGTTTTCGAAATATTCAATAAATTCATTATTTTACTATTTTTGACCGTTAACGGTCATTTATTGAATTAAACAATATAAATCAGAAATGAACAGAGGTTGAACTGAGTCTTTTATACTGCTTGGGATCCGTTTCATGGATTAGGGTCCAACAGTAATCGCTCATCATGCCTTCGTCCCAAAATCCTTGGTATCGCCTTTCGATTTTTGCTATATCTTGGTGTAGCCGCTCTCCTTGCTCGTCGCTCGTGTCGCCCAAGTTTTGCGGAAAAAAATCAAGATGTGAATGCAGAAAATGTATCTTGAGAGGCATTCGAGCTCCAATCTTGTGGTAATTTTGCAACAAATTGTCGATTACTTGCTTGTAATCCAGTGATTTATGATTACCGAGAAAGTTGTAAACACTTTGAAACGATGCCCATGCTGCTGCCTCATCAAGCGTTAAACATTTTGTAAACGTTACGTCAGCCATTAGTTTTCGAATATCAAGTCCGAGAAATATTCCTTCTTTGATTTTTGCGTATGACAGTTTTGGAAACAACTTGGTTAAGTACTAGAAAGCCGGTCCTTCGCGATTGAGCGCTTTGACAAAGTTAAATAATAATAAGGCCAAGTTTAATGTGAAGAGGTGGTAGTAAAACGTCCTGTGGGTTTACTTAGTGGTACAGAGGACACATTTTGTTGTCCTGACTCATAGTGGGTACGACTCGGCCACACCGAAAACTAGAGCCAATCTTGACAAACGAATTGAAAATCTGAGTTCAGGGCATCAAATAACGTTAAGAATCGTTCTCATCTGCTCGGGTCCAAAAGTTGACCCGAATTTGTAAACTTGTGTTATTAGCGCATACTGGGTTTTATGTGCCTACATACGAAAAAAATATTATTTGTAAGTCAGCTTCGGTAAAACAGAAAGTCAAATGTTGAGGCGCTTACCAAAACATCGGCATCACAAATCCCATATAAATCGGAATAACGGTTCTTAAAATATCTTAAAAAATGAGTTTATTTTTTTTTAAGTTTGATGCCCTCTAACGGACAAAGGAAGCAGTTTGTATAGAGGTAAATTGTGTCCAATGCACTTATTTTGATTCCAAAAATAAGCAGGAGTTTTATGTTCACGAAATATTTGCACAATCTGTATATGCTGTATTGTTTTTTAAAATATTGAAAATCATGGTTTTTGTTGTAAATCTACATGATGGACTTGACGAAAAATAATTCTCACTTATAAAAAATACTGAACTAGGGCACCATTTTATTATTACCTGTGTTTATATCCGAAATAATAGTATTTAAGAAATTACCCACCTGTACATAAAAAGAGATGCAGAAAATCTCCTGGGTTTTTTTCGATAGCATTTTTTTGTTTATTTTTTATCAAGTTCACCCCTAACCTTAATTGCCCATCTCTTTTTATCGACCAGGAACGCGTGGCTTCAAAAGCAGGGAGCTTCTTATTACGGGTCACAGCCTAATCTCGCTCAAAAACTAAATGCCTCCCCTTCCTCGGCCACTAACTCTCCAACGACTAAACCTAAGTTAACCAAAGCACAGTCATTCAAAATGGGAGGTAATAGCACCCCCAGACTCTTCCGGAAATGGTCTTTTGGAAGGAAATCAAAGAAAGCCGTCGTTAATGACAATCAGGTAAACAGTTAACGATTTTGCGAGGTGTCTGACTTAGATCATGATCATAATATGGATGAAACAATGTAACATTAGGAGGTGGTCTATCCTTTCTCTTAAAATAATTTAGAAGTAAATACAAAACAATCGACTGTAGAGAAATTAGTTTAATTAAAATTATAGTAAGATATTCATATTAAGGATCATAATAGCAGTTGTACGAGGATACAGGGTGATTCACTGCCATGGTAGGTTAGACGTTTATGGAGAACCGGTGATTTTTTCCTAAAGGCATCGAACTAAATTGTTTTTTGCCTTACAGTGTTGTCGCTTCATTTGAAAAGTAGTAATATCTTTGTTATTTTAAATGGTACACCTGGTATATTAGATTTTTAGAAATTACTATCTTTTATAATTTTCGTAATTATACACACATATAATCTTGAATAAGCATTAGTAAAATCAAGAAGTGGGCATATTGAAAGTTGAAGTGAAAGTTGAAATTTCATCTCATAATTTTACCAATACTTATTCAGATCAGTTTTCTGTCAATTTTACACATGTTTTATATTTTATCCTTAGATTTTATCTCGAAAACTACCTATTAGAGATAGGTAAAAGATGACATATTAGAAAAATTATGAGATATGACATTAGTTTCCAAAATTGTAACAATATACCGGATGTTCTGTTTAAAATAGCAAATATGCTACTACTATTCAAATGAGGCGGCAACAGTACGCTGAAAATAGTTTAGATATATGGAGCAAGTGCCTTTATTTAAAAATCCAAATTTTCAAAAAAATCTTATGATCGGTTCGTCTTTTTGTCTCAGCGCACGGCCACACGATTTTTGAGTTTTTTACGTGAAGCGTCTTTTGCGACTAAAACAAAATAACAGGATTATATAGGACTAGCTCGACCAAAAGCGTGTAGCGTTCGGCGTGTCTCGCAAAAGACGCAAATGAGAACACATCAGTTTGTTTTCTGTAGCGTCTTTAGCGATTTCAAGATGAAACCCCGTGATAGGTGGACGTAGTATTTAATAATACAAGAAAAATAAATTAAATAGTATGCATTTTTTTCTCATTTTATTATCTAAAACTATTTTTATAGAAAACATCTACTGTTTAGGAAGATTCTATTAAATTGAAGGATTTGTTTGAAAAAGTGTAGTTTGAAATGTTGAAAAAGTAATAAATTAAAAAGATATTTTTGTCATACGCTCCCAAAAACAGCTATTTTACGGACTCATTTCAGTCCGTAAAATGTTTCTTTTTCGGCCTAGGCCGTAAAGGTCGTCATGGCAACCTTTATGGACTAAAATGTCTAAATTCGTTATTTGGTTGTTTTATTTTGTCATTCGAAATTTGTCACAAAATCACATAAAATTATACATATATTTATAATTAAATTATTAAATACTAACAATATCAAAAGCTAAGTTATTTGTTTAAAGTAAGTACCTAGGTACTTACTTTTTCGTGGAAATAATTTAGCAATACATCTTCATTTACAACGAATACGCCATTTTTGTCTTTCCATTCATTAAAAAACATCATATTCTTTCTGGTAAATGGCACGAGACTTCACAGGAAGTAAATCCAACACGATTTCTTTGGCCTTATTAGCAATATGTTCGGGATTTGGAACATTTTAAAATTGTTGATGAATTTGTGTGATTTTGTGACAAATTTCGAATGACATGTCAAAATGCGATGAAATAAACAAACTCGTTACTAAGATATGAATTTATAAGCCAACTTTTTCAAACATTATAATTTCAAATATGGAAAATTTGCAAATATGCGTTCTAAAAAACTGTAAAAAGCGTATGACAAAAAATAGTGTATGTAACACGTACCTAAATTATGTTTTTTAGGACTCATCTACTATTTCGGACTCGGCTAACGCCTCGTCCGCAAACAGTAATGATTCGTCCTAAAAAACATCATTTTAGGTACTAGTTACATAAATAGCTATTTTTTACGTGTAACAAATAGTTTTTAACAGTTTTATTCGCGTAAAATAAAAAAATAATTAAAATAGTTTTCTACGTGCAATAGATAGTTTTTACGTTTAAAAAATGTTTTTTTACACGTAATAATTTGATTCACTTCTACAAAATTTGTATTAAAATTTGAAACACGTGAACTGCTCATAAATACTCGTCGCGTCATTACGTATTTCTAAGCCATTACCACTAGCTCGTGTGTCGGGGCCGTCTCGCTAGCTCGTATGTCACGGCTTTGAATGTTTACTCCCAGCGCGCGTAAAGATGTTTCACTTCAAAAAGTTTGATAAGTCATGTCCTAAAATTGCGTTAGCAATTAGTAAAATTCTATTCTATTATATAATTATAATTATTTATTATATTATATTATTATAATTATAACACACAAGTAACCACAAAACTACAACATAAAAATATATACACAAATAAACTAAAATTACTGAAATAAATGGGATATAATAATCATTTTTAGGCACACCACTGGCATTAGCAGTAGATTGCGTTTGTCGTCGAATATCCAGCCCGTTCAACGATCGATCCGAGCATGTCTTTCATCTTCGTCTTTTCAACGCTAACCGCGCCAATATCGCCTATCTCTTTCTCACAGGATTGACTGTTGAACGGGCCGGGAATCCACGAGCTTGCGACGTTACCAATTGACATCTTGATAGAAACTGTATACCTGCCGCTTCTTTTGCGTTTTTTTTAATAGACACCAATCGAAATAAAAGCTTCAAACGATAAAATCGCAAAAGCGCTTCACACGCAAAAAAGCAAAAATCGCTGTATGGCCGTGGGCCTTCCAGCGCCCACGCCCCCAGGGCCATTCCATCGGCATCGTCGTGGATCATCCTATATATTAAGATGTTTATATTTAGAAACTATATGTAATGTATCATTTCAGTATGTCCAATAACAAAAATTTTGGTATTTGATATAGTTAATAACTCTCAAAGAAATTGAATTGCATAAAAACGTGACAATAAAAATAATGCCAAATAGACCCATTTTTAATTAATAGAGCACGTCAGCTTCGTAGTCCAATATTTGTGGATTTTTTCAATAAAAATATTAGTTTTAACTTTTGTGACGCAGTTATAACTCTCTCTGAACTATAAATGTTCAATGTCATGTCATCTGAACCCAGCTATATTTTTAACAAAGATTATATTAATTTCCCTACAGTCATATCAAAATAATTTATTGGGCTTGCTGAATTGACTCCAAATAATTTTGTTTTTGATAAATCAATAATGAAAAAAAAAATTATTTGTTGGAAACTTTTTGGTGGTCAATATATACCGCTCTAGCAAGCCTTACGAATCCATTAATTAAATTATCAGTTACATAACAATAAATAGAATATTTCCTTTTCTTAAAGGCACATCATAAAAAATATCAATTGAACTACGCCAATCTTTGTTACGCTATTAGAATGACATTAATTATCACTTTATAATTTTTGTCATTTTATCGCCCATATTAATAATCTTGATCTATTTTGCATACTAACGGTTTAGGGCAACATTGCTTAATTGTCATTATCCACTGATAGGTCGCGAGTGACGCAAATAGAAATGTGACGATGCAAGATTACAGCAGACCCAGCAAGAGAGATGTTACATCAGCCTATGTAGACCATAGAGGCGCTACCTTGGTGAATGAGTACTGGGGAGTGTCACTAGAAGTCCCAGCAGGGGCCATTCCTGCAGGAGAAAGGAAGGAAATTTATTTTGTAATTTCCGATCCCAGATTGTGCGATAACTCTCCGCCGCTGGATCTAGATAATGGTAACGGTCATGGGCGTAGCCAACAAAAACAAAACTGGCTTGATTTTGTACTAATTGATTCAGTTTTATTTTTCTGGATAGGCTCATGATATACAGGTGATGGGAAATAGTAGATTAATTTATCTAGTGTACATACAAAAAAATCAAACTATTTCCTTTTCTAAGTTTCTTAAAAGGTGCTTTACCAGTAGTAGTTAATCGAAAGTTGTTTCGACGAGCAATTTTTTGTTGTAAAATACTGTTATTTTTTTAGGTGAGACCATGTTATCTCCTTTGGTTATGTGTGGCCCTCAAGGTGAGTATATCGGATTCACGAAGGATGACGATTGTATCAGAATATTTTTATTTGGAAAAGACAATGGAGAAGCGCAAGTTTTTGTCGGTCAATTTAAGCGGCCTACTGGAACTTCAAGCCTGGAAGCAGGCTTGAAGTTCAAAATACGACAAATCTCGTATTCTATCAGTAAACCCCCAGAACTAACTCACGCTGAATAACTAGTTAATATATAAACAAGGATACTATGTATATTTTATATAGCACCCTACCTTGTTTTCAGCTCCATCTACGGTTACGTAGGTGAAGCAGGTTTGAACCTTCTAATTTATTGTCTTAGAATCGGAACCTAACCAAAGACGGAACAACGTAGGCGAAATTTTCTCGTTGGGTTTTATTTGGAGCTTTGATGAACAAAGCTGAACGCTGTTCTGAAAGTGGAGAAGATTATCGAATGAATTAATTACCGTCATACATTCATCGTTTCTTAGTTCATTGGTGTATTTTATACAATCAATCGTCATCTTTCCTGTTTTGGACATTTATCTTTTGATTTACATAATATATCTCTCTATAGTGTCATACTTAAATATTTTGTTTTATTTTGGTAGGTACAGAATTTCTTAAGCCTGTGATTCTGAACATCCCCCATTATGCTAACACATTACCCAGCCTAGGTATCAGCCTCAAAGCCACAGATTCTGAACAGGACATACATACTGATTGGGATAATATTTTGTTGCCTAGTAATCATGCGGCGAATAGTGTTGCTGTTAAAGTCGATCATTTTTAAAATTAACCTTGTTATAATTTTTATTCCTGTTACTGACTGGTGCTCCTGTTTATTTGTCGTGTCTTGATAAATAATTTTATGTAAAGAATTTTTTATTGGCTATTAAAAAAACAGATTGTTAGAATGTTGCCATTATAGATCTTTTGCAATATATGTATGTAAGAAAATTCTACATAGTTTAACAAAATATTTTTGTTTACATTGTATGCACTTTTACAGTACTCAATTTATAGTTATAAGGTTTAGAATTTAAATGGACTTTAGAGCATTCCATTTTATTACTTAAATTGAAACACTCTACTAAAAGTGATATGATTTATGTGTCTATTGAATTAGTTTTTAATTGTAAATATTTTGTTCTGTAATATGTTTTAGTCCTTTACAATAATGTGATTAAACTTAAATCAATAATTTAAGTTATGAGGTTTTCTAAAAAGAATTTTTTATACATACGTTATCTGTATTTAGAAGTTAGAAACTAAGTATATTCTATCTCTAAGCTATTTTATCTTTATTGTTATGTGAATATACAGGATGTGCTATAAAGTTCGCAGTGTATCGTAATTTTTTGATTGAGTTATTTAAATAAAGTTGATACTGATTTGCTCTAGCATACACAATAACAAAAATATAATTTTGATATTGTCATGCCACAATTGCCATAACGACAAGACGATCATTTTTACATAAGCAAAACGTAGGGGAAGTGGATAAGGTGATTTAGCTTCATGTGCCGCCATGACAGTGGTCACCAAAGAGGGTACAATTAGTATGGCGCTGCTGTAGCAAAAGTTTTACATTTTAAAGAAAGGGTAAAGAATTCTCAGAACAGGAAATATCTAAAAAGAAATAGATATTGCCTATTTGTCTTGGCGCGGGTTTCAAAAAAATTACAAATGTTATTTTCATATCTCATGAAAAAGTTATCAATTTATTCATAAACTATGGACTAAGCCTTTTTTTGTTGTATTTCAAAATTGATATAGATTTTTACATATCGTTAATGAAACGTGTTAACCTGCTAACTCTTACGTTAATTAAATAATACGTTTGATACATCATTTTTACGTTAAATTTTTAACGAAATATTGAGTTCTATTGTTCACCTCTTATCCCTTATCATATTAACGCATGAATATACTTGCTACATGTGTATTTTGTTGTATCGTTTTTTCCTCACCTGTAAAATTAGGAATAATGGAGTTAGCTGTTTAACATATTACACCGACGCGCGACGATATAATACCTAATCATGCCTTTTTATATACCATAGGGTGGAAAAAAAGACAGAATGTCTTTATTTGCTATTTTATTTTTTCTACTGAAGCAACTTTTCACTTTTACCATATTTAATATTTATAATAAATAAAACAAATTCTCAGTAAAAAAATAATTATTTTATTCAAAGTGTTAAAATAAAGCATTTTGTGCATCAACAATCTATAAACAACTTTTCTGGTTTTGTTACTTTTCGACCCTTATTGCTTATTAGCGCCTTGTCCACTTTTTGTTTTATGTAACCGCTTTTTCAAGCAAAGTCCTATATGAGATGACTCATTACCCCTACCCTCAATAGCGAAAAAAACGGCTTTAGGTGACAAAATAATGAAAAACTCTATTCTAGTTGTCTAGAATTGGAATTATTTTAGTCTGAATTTTATTTGATTTTTAACAGGAATTGGTACTTTGATTATTATCATTTTTAATTTTGTTTATATCTCTAAACATTAATAGAAATAATTAAATTATAATGCTCAATTTCTACACTTTTTGTTTCACTTTCCTAATGCAGTTTGTGTGACTTCTGTGACTGTTTTTGTAATATAATCTACCTTCTAGCATTTCATTTTTATATCTAAAGGCGGTCTCTGACGACTCATGTACTTGGCAAGTATTTTTGATTGGCATACAGGGTCCGGTGACAATGGCGTAGTAAATCCTAATAGTAAATAACTTTAGAATTCTGTATAGATGCCCGAATAGATAGTTATAGATCCGCCTCAATAGATAGTTACGGTTTACAGTCACAGGTATAGCATCTCTTATAGAAAGTCATAGGTATCACTCTTTTAAAGTCATAGATTTTTTTATAATTTATGCACTACATTAAATTAGATAAGAATTGGTGACCTCTTGGTTTAGAGCAAGTCAACGTCTTGAACATGCTGGTCACTGACAAATTGACCTGGCAATTACCTCGTAGCAGAGCGAAAACAAGAAGACTTTATAGAATAAAATTCTGCTAAACTTGGTATATAGACGTAAAATACAGTTTTTCTCTTTAATATTTTCTATTTTGTCACCTAACCCCACTTTTTGCATAGACGATTTGTGTAATTTGCCGCCATGACAGTTGTCGCATGACATATCAAAATTATTAATTTTGTTATTGGACATGTTTAAGAAATTCCGCAATTTTTTTTAATAATTGAATAATGAAAAATAAAGTATAATTGACAAAAAGGCGTCCAGTTGGCTGGGAAATGACGATCGATGACATTTCCCATATAAAATGACAGCGATCTTCACTTCATAGCCATCGCTGATGCCTTTTTTTGGATCATACGGTATTTCCATTAGCAGCAAACTTTTTGGCACCCTCCGTATATTAAATATTGTGCTCACTTTTTGTGTTATAAATTTAGGTCATATTATTTTTAAAGATCTGAAATTGTTTGTAGGTATTTAAATAAAACAAACACTATAGGTGATTTATATTTCTTATAAATTAATCCACTTTTATTTGTTTGACACATAATTTTTCAGAAATATATATTTATGTAATAATTTTGTGTATATTATTTATAATAGAGTTATGTATAACACACACAAACGTATCTATAATGAATTATATAACTAACAGCATTCTTACATGTTCTGAGATCAAATATATAATTTAATAACAAATATAACATTTTTCTCCCGTTCTTTCTCTCACAAAAGTTAAAAATTCTTATAAAGGTAAAGAGCGGCATCAAAAAGGCTTTCGACGTCTAACTGGGTCTCTAATATTGCTACAAACATTCAAAAATATGGCAGTCGAACATTTAATATTATTTTCTCGTCGCGTTTTAACAAATAGGAACAATTTTGAACATTTTTTTTTCTTATTTAACCCGAGCAGACTAGATTTGATAACCGCCCTCTAAAAAAACAAGCTGCCGAAACAAATATAAATTTCTTATAAATACTGAAAACACTAAAAGAAAGCTATGGTATCACAAAAATTTTAAAACAAAATATATATAAAAATATGGGCAATTAGAGTGTTAAAATAGTTTTTTTTCGAAATTAGAGTATTTTGTTGCAGAATAAATTAATTACAAAATAAACCAAACTCTAGTTCGAAATATAGAGCATTTTTAGAGAATTTGGAATTCTCCAAAAACGCTATCTCTCGTTTTTAAGGGAATAAAAATTTCATTCATTAAACTACAGGGTGTAGAATATTCTAGGTATATTGTTTATTAAAAATATAATCAACAAATATATATCTTGAAAAGCATTTTGGAACTAAACTTCATCTAAGTTTTTTCAATTTATCAAAAACAATAAACACTTGTTTAAAAAATCGTGTGCAAAAATTTAGCTCTGTTATTGATCAGTAAAATTAAAAAAAAACTACACTCACCGGCACGAAAATTGTATTTTAAAGTTTAATATATTTTGTTCTAGTGGGCCGATTTTGATGATTTTTTAAACAATTTGTAGCTAAATTATTTGACTTTTTAGTATCTCTTTCTAAATTAAAATTGAAAGTTTCCATCTGTCAAATATACAAGGTAAAACAAAATGTTGATATTTTGGTGAACGTTTGAAACACCCTGTGGAATATGTTAACAAAGCAAGAAATTTAAATTTTATCATCTAGGTACATCTTTTCTCGATAGTTTGTTTTTTGATTCATCTCAATAGCTTTTGAATAACTAAGTAACTACACACACCGGAAAAATCTAGGGATATCATTTTATTAAAGTTAAAAATAAATGTTTTGAATAAACAACCACATATTTGTAGGCCGATTCTTTCTACTTCGATTGAAACAAAGTAGTCACACTAGTTATTTCTAAATTTGGGATATTTGCGGAAGTGTTTGTGCATTTTTTGTCAAATGTATAAAAAGCACCTAGCATTAGTTGTTCGAATTTAACCTGTACTGGCTATGTTTTTATGATAACTGGCCAAAATTCATTCAAATAACTCTGTTTAGTATTAAACAACATTATGGAGAGTAGACATAACAGAGACGAAATGCTAAGGGCCATGGATATGCTCGAAGCTGGAATGCGCCAAATCGACGTAGCTAGAGCATTAAATACAACGCAAAGTGTAATATCGCGATTAAGTGGTGCACGCTACCGTGAAAGTGGTGATGTTGCTAAAAGGCACACAGGGCGACATCGCATTACTACCCCTCAGCAAGATCATTTTTTACAATTAAATGCTCGACGCCGACCGACTCTTACAGCACCAGAGCTTAGTTTAGTTCTCCAGGAAACACATAATGTAACCGTTAGTCCCGACACTGTTCGCAATAGATTAAGAGAGGTCAACTTAAGAAGCAGACGCCCCTGGAGAGCTCAACCCTTAACGAGAGGAAATCGAGAGGTACGATATTTGTGGGCTCAAGATTATGTTCAGTGGTCGAATGAACAATGGGCCAATGTTCTCTTCACGGATGAGTCACGCTTTGGAATTCATCCGGATTCGAGAAGGCTTAGGGAACGGAGAGAACCGGGAAATTTTATTCGGTTGGATCATGTTCAGGAAGTGCACCCTTATCAAGGTGGAACAGTTATGGTCTGGGGAGGAGTCCAGTTAGGCCGAAAAACCAATATCGTTTTTCTTGAAAGGTTTCTAACAGGAATCAAATATCGTGATTTAATTCTTGAGCCTGTCGTGTTACCATATGCCAATGATTTTGGGAGAAACTTCATTCTCATGCATGACAATGCACGGCCTCATACAGCCAGAGTGGTAAGTGAGTTTATCAATGCTCATGAATTAAACATCTTACCCTGGCCGGCACAATCTCCTGACCTCAACTCCATCGAGCACGTATGGGACGCGGTCCAAAGAAGAATTTTGAGAATGGGTATGTCTCGTGAAACTCGTAGGGATCTGGTTCGGGCCGTGAATGCAGCGTGGCAGGCTGTACCTCAAGAAGAGATTGACAACCTGATCAGGAGCATGGAGAGATGATGTAGGGCTGTAATGAACAGTAGAGGAGATACCCTTTATTAAGTAAAAATGGTTTTATCTTTTTTTTTTAATTCACAGTTTAGAATTAAAAAAAAATATGTATATTTTTTTGAGTTCAATAAAAATCAAGGTAAATTTGAAAAATTCGGTAAATTTCGCATTTTTATTTCCAATACGTCCTGTAAACTATTTGTTTATTTTAATTTTATTATATCAGAAATGCAAATAATAAAATTACTGATGATGGCTGGATAAAATTGTAATATCCCTAGACTTTTCCGGTGTGTGTATTTACAGCAATTTTAGGATTGATTTTGGGTTCTCATCAACACACTTATAAAATAGTTTTTATTGTTTTTATAATGCCACTATCATTGAAAAGTCATATTATTGTTTATTAACGTTTACTCTAGTAGACGGTTTGCTAAGTAGAGTTCCAAATTTTACAACATTGTCATATTAATTAAACAATTCAAGCAAATTAAATGGAAAATATTACTAGTGAGTGAGGTATATTATACACCCTGTATGTTACATTCACACCTTTAGTTCGTCTCTAATAGCGAAAGATTGGCTGGTATCTTTTTTATGATATTATGTAGAATTATAAATTTTTGTTTATGTATTCCTGAGAATCTACATATTATTTCGTCCCCAAAAAATTGGTCGAAAACGCCTTTCAGTCGCAAAAAGAGTCGATCTGCAAAACTCCTGAATAAAAATATTTTCTTCCAGAAAACTTCACCACATAAATTCGTAAATTGAAAAAAATAAACTTATGTGGATAATTTCTGAAGAACTTTTATTCTTATTTTAGAGTTTGCACCGATTTACACAGAGTAAAATTTATATACTGGAGGATGCTTTGCACCGCGTTTTGTACTTTTAAATCCGTAATATAAATTCTTAACAAAATCTATGGTTTTTGATTAAATTTAATTCAACATGTTTTTCACCAAAAAATTCAGTAAAGTTCTGTAACTGACGTAAATATTTGTTTTAAAAAGTTTGCACATTACAGTAGTAGTACAAATGATAATATAAATAAATTCTGGAAATTAAGCACATTGAATTAAATTCAGAACTTAACCATTTTTCATCAATTTTAAAAATTGAAAACAATTTAACAAGAACAATTTCTCTTCATAAAAACTAACAATTATGTCCTCTTTTATTATTAATAATTAAAAACAGGTCCTACGCAGCATTTTGTACATAAAGCGGAAATTATAATTAAAGAAAAATATTTACGGTGCTCTCTTAGTGCTACTGCACTCTGATGGCCATTATGTATTTACAAAATAGTGTAAATAAAATTTAATAATTTTTCCACGTTAAAAAAGTAATATTACACAAGTGTATAGAATGCAGTTACCAAGAAGAGAACTAGATAAATAATTATTAATAAAAGATATTTACGTTTCTAAACAAGTTCTCTAGGCTAAAATTACATACGAATATATACAGGTCTATTATTAAAGCGAAGACTGGTTGTCCATTTTTATATTTTATTATTCTTTGTACAAAGTCGATTATATTATACAATGTCTTTTTTGAATTGACTTGAATGGTCTGCAGTTAAAAAATGAGGGCTTTGTCTATCTCTAGACCAAAATAGTATGTTTAAAGGTGAGGATCCATTTCTGTAAATGTTCCATAGAAAATAATTATAATTAGATATTTTTCGAACATTTCAGACCTTTGTCGCCAGACTAGCTAAATTAATTACTGACATACATAATGATATATTTTTTGTCTGTTTTTACAGTAGTCGCTGTGGTAGTCGTTTGTTGCAAATCTTTTTCATTTAGCAACATTGAGAAAAATTCAGGCAAGTTTAAATAAGTTCCAAAATTAAGTAAAATAAAATATACTTAATTTTAAATAAAAGAAAAATGCAAAAATATTCAATCTTGTTGATAATAAATTCATCTTTTAAATATTTATTTACTCTTCAACTAACTAAAATATTTGATGATGTTTTATTAAATGAACTTTTTAAAACCTTATATCAACTTAAAACATTATATCTGAATATTTCAGTAGAATATATTGATTTTCACTGCTATACTTATATTTTTTTCAAAAAAAAAATAAATTTAAATGTTAATTTTAAAATTGATGTTGTTCTAGAGATACAGATATCGGATTAATCGAGACTGATACAGTATTTTTATCGTTAGTTGTAGTGAACTAAACTAATAAATAAAGATAAAAGATAGATAGATACTGGTTATGAAGCCCTGGCTAAATGGATACCCACCTTTAACAATGTGATGTGTTTTGGTAAAGGTAAATTCACACTTCCATTAATTAATGGCCGATACTTATATGAAATTTAGGTGAAAAGAGAATTGTCTTATCTTACCTTTAGAATAATAAATAATAATTATGGAGATACAGTGGCATCAAATTTACTAAATTACTGTTCATTTCCCTCAGCATTTCTAGATAGAAACAACATTATAAAACTAAAAACTTGGCATACAGGGGTATTGGGGTAATGAAACAAAATATGTTAACAAACTTTAATGTGGAGAGTATGGAGCTTTCTTCTCCATAATGCAAAACCAGTTTATACCCATTTTTTTTGTCGGAAATATGATCTTTGAGTTCTAGAAGCTTTAAGATATGGCTGATTGAAACGGAACTAATATGTGTGTATCAGTGGTATAGTATCGGTAAAATTTCAAGGATAAATTTTGCCATTGGCTTACTGAGTATACTTACATTTAGGGTTGTCAACCGTCCTTTATTCCAGAGGACTCCGTCCTCTTTCTGATCTCACTGTCCCCCTTTCTCTCGCATATTGAAAAAGTCCTCTTTTTTTACATACCAAACTCAAAATCTAAAAAATGTTTGCGTATCGCCACAATGCTTTAAAAAATTGTTAATCTATGTCTTTCGCTACTCCCACTCGTTTGTACAGAAAAGAAGTTGAAGAAATATTTATGTAAAATAAATATTTGGTGGAAGCGATAAACATGTTTAACTATTTTATGTTTTCTTATGTTAGCTCATGTTTTGAAAAAGTTTTGGTGAAAATGGTTTGGTTTATTTTAACAAGTTTTGAGTGTAAATATTGTTAAGAAAGTAAGAAAGACCATCAATCACATACCATTGACATAACTTTTTGGTAAATTCTAGACATTTGAGCGAGGTTTCAAAAAATGTTTCACCTGTGCCTCTTTTTTACCCTTTCATCCTCTATTTTTATTTTGAAAGTTGGCAACCCTAACTTACATATCCATTGCCACAATAAATATTTCAATAGATACAATGATCACTTAGAAATATGCTTCTCTTCTTAACTTAGAATATCTCCAGCTATTTTCACAAATCCACAAAAGACTTAAAGTTTAAAACTAATTATTATGTCCATTTGAACTACCAACAAACATAATTATTAATTTTTGGACTTAGGCAAGATAAGGCATTTAATTTATATCACGTCAATAATTTGATGATTTACTGATGTGTGTGAAAAAACCTTTAGCTCAAAGTGTTGAATTTAAACGTAAATATATATTTTGGATACTGATTGTGTAATATTTTGGCAAGTTTCCAAACATTTATTCCCGTACACCCGCCCATCTACAACCCCACTAACAAAACAAATAGCACCATTTTCAGGTATACGGGATCGTTCGAAATACCGAGGTACTTCGGAAATCACTTTGTAACACTGCGCTTGCGCATCACGATGACGGATCATTCCGGCGCAGTGTTCTTTATCACTTCTTGCGCCTCGACGCCGTTCTGTACGCTGGCAACCGTCGCTATCACGCTTTGGGGCACAGGCGTGGGCGCGGAGGGCGGCTCCTCCGTCGACTGAACTATAATGGAAGAGCTGGATACGCTTTCACTTTTCGCTTCTTCGCTTATACGCTGGCGCAGTTGTTCGAGTTCTTTGCGCAGCTCGGCGTTTTCGCGCTCCAGATCTTCGATCCTGCTCTGATCCTTGGAATGAATTTCAAAAACGGCACGTTCGCGTTCTTTCGCCACGTTTCGGAACAGTTCCATTATCTTATCACGCACGTCCTCGTCTTTAACCGCTTTAAGCGCTTCTTCCAATTTAACGTGGTTCGGGGTGTGTTTATCCGAAGTCTCCGAGGCACTATCTTCCGTATCAGTAGATAATTCTATTTCCGGATTATTCATTTGGACCACGGAAACACCTTTGTCTGAGGGTGGCGTATTAACAACTTCCGTTTCTTCCTAAAATGTATAATAATATATTAAAGTTTTTGTGTATTTTCTAGGTTTGGGCAAATATCAAGTAATACATTAATTATTTAATAACTGTCTTGCATATTATAGGTCTTTATTTTAGATGACGTTTCGGCCAATTTTTAGCCTTTTTCACAATCTTATCTACAATAATTTAACAAAATTCACACCGGTATAAAATTACATTTAAGAATAAAATTTACCCTGTCACGTAGAAATATACAACACGTGTTCATATAAAAAGATACAAAATGTAAAAAAAACACTAAAGACACTAAACATGTAATTTGTTATATTAATATTCAGAATATTTTAATTTAGTGCATGGACAACTGATTTATTTATATGAGTTGATATTAGGTCCGTATAGACGGCTGACGTCTTTTTTATCATTTATGGTCTTCTTGTTTTTTTTATATTCTCATCATTTCTAGAAATTGATGAATTAAATTGATGTTTTTTTACTCTCTCATAGTTTATTAAGGCCGTTTTATTTTTTTGTCATATTTATGGCTCTTGATTCTATTCTCTAGATATTGTGACGTTTGGTTGATTTTCCAAACATTTTGCTGAATTGTTGTGATAAGCCTGTCAAAAATGGTAGAGATATATACAGTTCATAACAAATAAACTTTGAGTCACATGATTAAGCTTGACCGGCGCAGCGTTGCCCACTTTTATATATTTTCTTTTAATCAAAATATTTTAGGAAACAAAAATAAATTAATTATAAATATATAAACAGTTATTAAAGAAGAACGAAATTATTGGGCAAACCTACAGTGAGATTAGCCATGAAACATAGCTAAAATACGACTACCCGTAGACACTCAGTGTTTCTGCCTTCCGGCTTCATCAGTACGTGAGGAATCAGCAACGATGAACTAGCGATCCTGAAAAAAGAAAAAGGGAAGCAAACGAGGCACTAGGCACCATTTGCAACCTGGTTTTGCCCAATAATTTCGTTCTTCTTTTTTATTGTAGTCCCACGATAACATCTTTTGTTTATTGTTTTCTCTGGGCCAAGGTGATAGCGGCGAGGTATGTTGGAATACCTCCGCAGCGGTGTTTTGGTAGTAACGCTATTGTGAGCTACTGCTTAACCAGGTTGCAAATGGTGCCTAGTGCCTCGTTTGCTTCCCTTTTTCTTTTTTCAGGATCGCTAGTTCATCGTTGCTGATTCCTCACGTACTGATGAAGCCGGAAGGCAGAAACACTGAGTGTCTACGGGTAGTCGTATTTTAGCTATGTTTCATGGCTAATCTCACTGTAGGTTTGTCCAATAATTTCTTTCTTCTTTTTTATTGTAGTCCCACGATAACATCTTTTGTTTAAACAGTTATTATTTACATCAACAAAACGCAAGAGCGCTTAAGGGACATAAAGCTTTCCCGTTCAAAATATTTTAATAAAGTAGCTATGAGTTTTTTACGGCTATGAAGCTATCTTGTACACTTCGCACTAAAAGAGATTCTAAAAAGAACAATGTTCAACCTGCAGGGTCTGCTAGTAAACATTTTCAAGCTTAAAGTATCACAACACAATTCATTTAAACTAAAAAAAAAACTGGTAATACAAAACTAAAGTGTCAAAACGAATGACAATGTCATGAAATAAATAAATAAATGGGGCAACTTGACATTTTTTCAGCAGAGCTACCACCTGAATACCCAGCACGAAATTTAAATTCCAGTTAGTCAGCACGGCGCCGAATATATCCAACGTTGGCAACAATGAATTTAAAAATTGCAAGGTTAATCACATGACTAAAAGTTTATTTGGTGCGAACTCTAGTTTATTTTTTTGTTTTGTTGCTTTTTGTGGAGCGATCAATTGAATTGTATTATTTGTTGATTCTGTTTGAAAATTTTTTGTTTATTAGTGAGGTTGGGTAACTTTAAGGCCTCTTTTGGTTTTTGGAAATCAAGGGCCATAAATTTGATAAAAAAAAATAAAACGGCCTTAACAAACCGTGAGACAGTAAAAAGACGATAATTTAATTAGAGTGAAACAAAAATTTTAAAAACTGAAAAAACGCATAAAGAGAATTTCTAGAAATGATTCGAATTCAAGAAAACAAGAAGACCATAAATGATAAAAAAGACGTCAGCCGTCTAAACGGACTATACATTCCACTAATATAGATAAATCAGTTGTCGCTGCACCAAATTAAAATATTCTGAATGTTAATATAACACATTACATGTTTAGTGTTGTGTTTCCATTTTGTAACTTATTACATGTGTTGTAGATTACTACGGGACAGGATTTTATTCTAAAATGTAATTTTATACCTTAAGGTGTGAACTGTGTTAAATTATTGTAGATAAGATTGCGAAAAAGGCCAAAAATTGGCCGAAACGTCATCTAAAATAAAGACCCATAATATGCAAGACAATTATTACATAATTAATTTACTTGATATTCTAAAACCAAGGAAAATACACAAAAACTTAAATATAAATTAGGAATAAAGAAAAACTAAATACAAATAATATATTATTTTGGATGAATTGTAATGTAAACAAAGTTATAAAGGTCACCTTAACATGATGATGCCCGTTGGTCAGAGACGACTGTGACGGTGGGTCGAGAGTGGGGATATCAGCTTTTTCGACTGGAGGACTAGTACGATTAGATTGCGTCTCATGGATTTTTCCGTAGCGATGCTTCTTGGGTGTGGGAGGTGCTAGAGCCACGTTAGGTTGGTAACTCCTTTCAAACCTACAAATTGGTATCTTTACTCTCAAAAGAAAATATGAGATTATTACAAAGCGTACAAAGTACAATTTATTGAAAAATATATCAATTTTGTAGGCAGAATTCAATGGAGAGATTGTTGGCATTTTAGAGAAATATTCTTTCTATTTTTTTTAAGCAAAATCCCCCATATTATTAAAATAGAAAGCTTTTGCATTCTGTGTTTAAAAAAAAAGCTTTTGCATTCTGTGTTACACAAAATAATTCTGCTTATACCATATGATCGAAAAAAGGCGTCAAAGACGGCTGAAGAATGACGATGATAATTTTGTCAAACCCTAGACGTCATTACAATGTTTGTACTGGGGGGTTTCGAAAATTAGAAGAGATACGTGCTCGGATTTTTATTAAGGATTTTAAGAGCTTTAAGGACCCCAAAGCCAATGACGTTTCGCACTTATTCCAAAAATTCAAATTAATGATTATCTGGCAAGATGTTATCAAAAATTTAGTCCCTGTCTCTAACATAAATATGAGTTCTTATGGAAAATGTCGCCATTAATATGATTTTTTTCAGATAAGTAAACAAAACAACTCTTAAATTACTTAATAAAAATCCAGAGCGCAGTTAAAAAAAAGAACAATGATGATGGTAGCTCAAAGACGAAACAACAAAAATAATCAGATCAAAACAAGTAGCAATGAGAATATGACATTTAATTGCTATATTTAGGTATTAAAATAGAGTGATAAAAAATAAAAAATATAAGTACTATACTTTTTTCTAAAAATCTTCGGAATTTTAAGGTGGTATTTGGATCGGCATCAAATTGCGCAACTTTGCCTCCATTTAAACGACTTATTCTCTTCTAATTTCCGAGATCCCAATGCTTAAGGGGCTTAAATTTAGGACACCCTCTACATTGATAATATACATATCTATGTTTATCATATTCCCAAAAGAAGGTATTTATCTTGAATTCGTGATATGTTTAATAATTAAAATAATATTAATTCGTATACTTTATAAAAATAAATAGGTTGACTTTGTAGTCTTGTCTTGGTTTGAAAAAGATATAAAAACTTTATACGCGCTAAAGTAACACATTTACCTTTCTGATTCAGATATGGGAACTACTCTGTCTGGGTTTTGTAGAAGTGGTGGGTCGGCGGTACATCTAGCTGCTAACCCTAACGCGTTAGCACTTCGAAGTTTCTGCTCTCTAATACTCTGAGTTACCGGTTTGAATGCGCTGAGATGGCTTCTTACATTAAATTCCTACAAAAATCATTACATTAGTAAACGGTTTAAATTTTAGTATTATTTATTAATATCCTAAATAAACCTAGGCTACAATATTAAAGGCTACAATATTACGTTAGCCTGGGTACCAGGGCACGAGGGTTACAAGTAGAGATGAGCAAAACTGCGATTCTCCAATCGCAATTGAAACAGCCATTGCGATTTTTAAATAGCAGCGACAGTAATCTTAACGATTGGGATTTTAATATTTAAATATTATACTAGGTATATAATTGTCTGTGTATGTATCTATAGCTTAACAATTCAAAAAAAAATAATAATAATCATTTTTTTTAACATCTGCAACACATATTATGGGTATTAAAACTTTATATATGCTGCAACAGCTGCAACTACTGTAACCAACACTTTCTACGGTTCTCAATTACCTAATTCTTTATCCAATCCTTAAAAAAATTAAGACGGCTCACTCCTATAACTTTTTTTATTTTATTTTTTTCAAATAAAGAACAAATTGGGTACGTTAGTATATGACATAAATCAGGATTGATTGACGTATTATTATCACGAAAAACAACAGACGACCAATTTATTTTTCCAAGATATCTTGATTAAAAATTAGCGTTTTTAACACAGCCGTCACATTCACATTCTAGATTGAAATTTAAAATGCGATTTTTTTAAGCGAAAACGTCAACAGTTGCCATACGATATGTCATTCTATTCAGAGTGCCATTTTCTATCGAATAAAGTAATAAAAATAAAAAAATATAGTCATTGGCCATAAACAATTGTATACGTTAATCAATCCTAATTAATGTTATATACTAACATACCAAATCTCGTTTTTTATAAAAAAAATAACAAAGTTATAGAGGTGAACCACTCTTGAGAAACACCCAGTATATTATTATCGTAACTCTAGAACATAACACCTCCTCTATAAAATTTATTATATTATTTATTTAATAAATATCCAATCGGACTTTACTATAAAATGCTTCAATAGACGACAAAATTAATTCGCAACAATATCGCAAATCGCAACTCCTAAAAATTCAAACTCGCAGATAGCAATCACGAACCCAGTTTACGAAATCACAATAGCAGCAAAATCGCAACAAAGTCGCAAATCGCCGCTATATTAATACTGGTTGTCTAAATTGAAACTCGCAAATAAAAAATCGCAATCGTAGTTTCCTATGGGAGCCAGTCGCAGCTTGCGATTGCGATTATACAATCGCTGCGATTGAATCGCAGTTTGCGATTCTTTGCTCATCTCTAGTTACAAGGATAACGAAAACGCAGATGAAATGGCTCATCAATGAAGATTACAGATTCAGAACCCCTCTGCGGCATATGCTGTCCTCCATTCGCGAATTTCAAGTTCCAAAGCTTTACGCCCTGGGCTACACAGAACGGTTCTAAAAGAAGCTGTGCGCGATAGTCTGGTGCCTCCATATGGCGCGGAACAGTTCTGAACTTTATGACTCAATTGAATGAAGTGAGAGTATCGCGTTCTTGAACAGTTCAGAGCTGCACAACTGCGTGAATGGAGGACAGTAATTGCAAAAGCTGTCACGACAATGGTCACAAAACGGTAGGTAACCAATAAATTTCTAGAGTGGTAGAGAAATTCACCAGGGCAAGAAGGATAGGCCTAAGGGGATCAGAAGAGGACCACGATAGATCTCAAAAGGTCAAGTGGATCAGGCCATAATCTAATATTTTGCAGTCCAAGTTCATTTTAACTGAACCATATTTAGTTGACTGAACCATAACTGCCTGTTTATTTTGCTGCTCTCAAGCCAAATGAATATTTTTCATTCGTGTAATTCATTTATTAAAATAGCAATACATCATTAATAATTACCACTCTACTGGTAGTGTTACTACTTCAATATATCACCACGATATCACGGACAATTAGCTAAGAAAACGTAATTAAATGTTAAACAACTTTTAATTTTACTTCTTTTATGACATATTTGACCCAGAGAAAATTTAAAGCAGACAATATAATATCGGCCTTTGCATCCTTAACTTTATTTCTCTTGGTTTTAAATCCAAGCCATTCTGTGAGGAAATGGGGAAACACCAGAACACCTCACACTGAGTGCGCCGAGACGACAAGCATTGGAGATGAAGAACTAACTAGCCTCTGTGAAGCCGTCTCAGATACTGGCTTTTACCAAAGCCCTGAAACTGTATTGTATATGTTATAACTCGTTATAACTCCAGAAAGGGAGACACACAATAGAGCTGTAAGGTCACAGTGATTGAGCCCCCTCCCAAACATTCTACATTCTACAAGCCATTCATCTAGTCATTTCAGAGAATGACAAGAGTTTAGTTAAATCATAAACGTTATAAACAATAAATAAATATGATTTAAAAAAATACAAAAATAACTATTAAGTAACTTATTTAAATCAAAAATGATTTTTTTTAAATGACAACAAAATATTAGAGTTAAAAATAAAGACTGCTTGACAAGCTAGGAAATACTACTGATCAACTTACTTGTAAACATCGATGGATATAAACTGGTTCTAGTGCTGAGTATATTTGTTGCTGCATAATGGCGGCTGCAGCTGCTGCTGGAAGAGCAAACGGCGGTACTCGACCCAAGTTACCCAAATATTCGTCCAACTTTTGTTTCTTGAGTGGTAAATCCGACAAGGTTGCTTGATGGTCCTTAACCACATCAGTCGCAGGAATCTAGAATTAAAAAAATAAATTATGAAAATTTTGCTACACGACGCATTGTGAATATTTAAAGATATTTGTTTTTTGAACAAGGAAAAACAAAACTTATTTATGACAAGGAAAAAAAATGTTGTCATATTTTAATACAAAAATGTAAAAAAATCTTAGAATTTTTCCTCGTAATACCTAATGGATTACTTGAAGCTAAATAAAAACTAACCTTACTAGTACTAGCTAACTTTAAGTGACTGACATACTGATTAATCACGATCCTGCTCAAACCATTCAACCTAAGAAGCTCAATTTTGGCATACAGGTTGATTCTAGGGTGTAGAGGTTCGATTCACCCCTCAAATATTACAATATTTTTTATTTAAAAAACGGTCAAGTTTCCGAAAAAACGCTTAAACACGTATATTTTATTTTGTTTTACATATTTTAAGATTTTTTAAAAATGTATACAGGGTGTTTCGAAAAATCTGGTCATTGATTAATCATGATCCCGCTTAAAGCGCTTAACGTAAAAAGCTGATTTTTGGAAAACAGATTGACTTTAGGGTGTAGAGGTTCGATAAGAAGGGATTTTTCGAATCGGGGAAACTCGAATTCTAAGGCGGTGAAACTATCCCTCAAATATTAAAATATTTTTTATTTAAAAACCGGGGAGTTTTTCGGAAAAACTCTTAAACAAGTATATTTTATTTTGTTGTTTTACATATTTTAAGATTTTTTATAAATTTATTCAGGGTGTTTCATAAAATTTGACCATTGAGTAATCACGATTCTGCTTAAAGTGCTTGACGTTTAAAGCTGATTTTTGGCCAACGGATTGACTGTGGGGTGTAGAGGTTCGATAAGGAGGGGTTTTTCGAATCTCAAATTCCAAGAGGGTGAAAACGCCCCTCAAATATTACAATATTTGTTATTTAAAAAACGGTCAGTCTTTCGGGAAAATCCTAGGTTAATCATAATTTATTTGTTTTTTTACATATTTTGACATTTTTTAAAAAATCATACAGGGTGTTCCAAAAAGTTGGGTAATTTCTTAACCACGATTCTGCTTAAACTGTTTGACGTAAAAAGTTAATTTTTGGCAAACGGATTTTTCGAAAGTCAAATTCCAACGAGATGAAACTACCCCTCAAATATTACCAAGTTATATAATAATATCGCCATATTGTTTTTTCTCATGCTGACATAAATGTGAGAAAATTTTATCCAGTTTGTATGTTAATGGAAATTCTTGCTTTGCTTTATCATCACCATTACAAATGATTAATTCGACGCGAACGAAGTCGCTGGTACACGCTAGTATAATATAAAGTATATTAATAGAACAATAAGTAGTAGAATAATTAATACTGAAAATGAATAAGTGGTAGGTTGGCATGGAAAAATACCAAATAATCTGCTCTATCAGATAATAAACGATTCCTTTTGTTCTTGTTGTACAGACAGGTTCCCAGCTTCTCAGTATATTCGCTCACTTTAAGCCGGTACCACACGATGTGGCGAACCTTGGATACACAGACCTCCCAACAGTTCCAACGTTGGACATACGGACATTTGCCCCATCATGTGGGCGCGTAAATATGATATCCATGCATCCAAAATGCGTTCAAAATGGCGTCCAACGTTGAACGTTGGAAGCATGTGGTGTTTGGGCCCTCGTTGGTAAATTTCAGCCGCGTCAAAGGAGTTTCCAACGTTGGAAGCATTGTTCGATGCGCTCCTATACGGGTCTTTACGTGGCTGATATTTTATTATGTAGTGCCAAGTTTGCTTCCAGCGTTGGAACAAACGTTCACCCTATCGTGTAGGAGACACCGTCAATTACACATAAAAGTATTTCATATTTAATTTCCAAGTACATAGATACGTAAATACTTCATATTATGTAGATAAATGAATTAAAAATGAGGAATTAATGTTGTCTTGTTTTTGACACTTGGTCTATGGTTATTTATAATTTAACGATGATATAAATTGTATATGCACCATTTAACAATACTGTCCGCAATTAATCGTTAAAAACGAAAATATTTTTTTGTTTGTTTTACGACTGATTCCAGTTGTCCTGTAGAAAATACTTTCATAATATTAATAACAGAGATCAAGAAGTTGTAAAATTAGATTTTTTGCCAGTGAAATTCTCGTCGTTCCTACGTCCATGTTTTTTTCGAGCTATTATTAGAAATTCCATTGAACATTTATTTTTCTGGTTTCTCATGTTATTTTGTCTTAAGCCCCAGCTGCCTGCTAGATTTGAGGATTTGGGGAAATTTTATGCAATAGTACTATTTGGGGTAACACTATTTGTAATAAATTAAAATACTATTTGTAATAAATTAAAACACAAAGGGAAAACACTATTTGTAATAAATTAAAACAATAATTTTGAACAAATACGTAACTTTTATATAAACGTGAAAAGAAATGCAAGACCGCAAGAGTATTGTATGCTTGGTCTTAGTCTTCCAGAAATCTTGCACTGGTCGGTCTTAGTCTTGCAGATCAAATGCTAGTCTTGGTCTGTCTTGCTATTTGTGCAAGACCAAGACCATGACCTATCACTATTTCGTTAAAATCCTTGTTTTTTCTATAAGACATTGCAATAAAATAAGCAAATTAACATTTTTAACTCATTTTGCAGGTTATTGCCACATTTGGGACAAGGTTGTTGAATTTAACAGGTTGCCTCATAGCAAAATAAAACACTAAATCACCACAATACACCAAAACACATTTATTTTTTACAATGGACGCGCGTTTCGCTAACCATGTTATCAGCAGATGATTATAACTGTTATTTAAACTTAGTTTTTTAGCGAAACGCGCGTCCAGTGTAAAAAATAAATGTGTTTTGGTGTATTGTGATGATTTAGTGTTTAATTTTGCTGTGTAACACCAAAGGTTCCAACCAGAGGTTCCAACCAGAGGTTCCAACCATGTTCCAACCCCCAACTGTAAGGTTGCCTCATAACTTGACATTAGCCGTCATATTGACAACCACAGCGTGGTATCCATTATTTGTGTGAGGTTCAAGTTAACGTCTCCTTTCTGCTGCAATGGCTAAACTGGACGGGACCTACTTGTTTACGCGGAATCCGAACCGCGGTCCTCGGCCATATCATGGTCAATGGTCTACCGACTTAGGAAGTGTCTAAATTAACTCTTACTCACGAGATATCCGATCTTGAACCGGCGTGAATGAGCAGTGTGTATCAATAGATTTTACATTTTTCCCTTTTTGGACAACAGCACGATGCAAAGTTTCGAACCGGTCACCCCTCCATCCACTAGCATCGCCTTACGTCGCTTAACTTCGGTGTTCTAAAGGGAACCGGTGTTTCGACGTAGCTGGGCCGTTGCCCTTCCCATTATTTGTGTTTACAAATTTGGTTTCAGTATAATAAATTAGCTCCACAGCAATTTAACTCTAAATAATTTTTACGTGATTTCTTGGAAACAGTAATAAAAGTTATGAATATTTTAATGGCGTTATACAATAAATATTGTAATAAATCTATTGCAATCGTAATAAAACTTCGAAATAAAAGATTCAAACATTTTCTGAGTTCTGAAAAATTTGGCTTCTGCATTCTAGATTAGTGTATATTTATTTTTTTAATGTCTACCAAAATTACTGGTATTTAAAGACGATTTACCGGTAATGCAATCCCTACTCTCTATGTTCATTTCAAAAATATCCTAAAGTATTCAGATTTGGCGTGAAGTTTTTTCTACTTAAAATCACTTCAAGTTCACACTTTCATCCCCAAACACAACATCATAAAAATTTCTCTGCGGAAATGCATCATGCTCTTTTTTTCGACTTTATTATAACTGAAATCAGTTACATGAAAACGTGTTCCTGCTGTACGTTCTAAATACTTTTCTTGTGTAGATATGAACTTAACCTAGTAGATACTGTAATTTAGACATCAATACCGTACCGAGAAAAAACGAAAATAAACAAAAATGAACCGACAAACCAAACCAAACCTAACCAAAGCAATCAAAACAAGCTGTAAGCTAAAACGCGCTGTTTACGAATTCCCAATTGCCGAGTACTTTTCAAATGTCAATGACAAGTCTGGATATTTATTAGTCTTTATCCCTATCGGTGTGTTTTCCCCCTTAGGTGTGGAGGGTGTAGTTATTATTATCCCGATATAGTGTGTTGTATACTATAGTATAACGTAAAGTGCACTATCCGTTTCCGGTAGGTGTATGCGCAGGCAGGGTACTGATGGTACGACATTATAAATTTATTCTCATTCTTTCTCTGAGCGTTGAAATAAACAAATCTAGTATTGCACTGTGTTTAACTCAACCCCAGTAAAATCAGAATCAATCACGCACACATTTCTAGTATGAAAAACAGAAACCTTTTCATGTAACTGATTTCGGCTATTCTAAAGTTTGAAAAACTAAAAATTATGCATTTCCGCAAAAAAAATGGTGACACCCTAAACCGGGCTACTTCGGACAGCACGGGTAAATTCGGACAACGGGCCCTTGAAAGAAAAACAGTTGCCCTCAGATGTGTCTTAAGTACCGAGTGTTTTTCGGGCCCGGCGTATTTTTTACGTCAATTTTTGTAAGTATGCAATTTTTGTTGTTTTTTTTTAAAGTGGAAAAAGTAACTGGCGTACAACTAAAGCTATTATTCATAAAGTCGTACTTTTTCCAGTATTCAGTAGGTATATTATCGGAAAATGTTTTATGTAATTTGAAGATTTTGAATCGTTCAATTTTTTTTCCAGATGGTCGTAAGTCGTAAGCAAAAAAATCATATTTTGAAGGTTTCGGACATGGTTCGAAGTTACAAAAAGCAACTAGGGAGTCGCCCCTACCAAAATTATTAACCAGAGAGGTTACAGCAAGCAGTAGCAGATGTCAAAGCCAAACGAAAAACCTTAAGAGAGGCGGCTGAGTATTATAGGATTCCCAAATCCACAATTGGGGATAAAGTTAAGGGGATTCATGATAAGAATCCAGGACTGCAA